GCTAGTCGTGTGTTTCTGCGATCAACAAGGATTGATTCCAAAGAGCCTCCTGGGTCACTCCTTCAACATTTGTTGATAAAATGTCTTTGATTGTTGAGGTCGCCCTTCTCAACCCCTAGATTACGATATAATGGATGTTTTCGAGATCATACTGTTCTTTAGCAGACTACCACCATGATACTTATGATATTCCTTCTGCTTTCTGTCCCTCTCGACCACAAGTATTTGGCTTGGATGATTTCTTACTTTTCCCCCTGAGCAGAATGTTTCACGGGCTCAGGCTCTTGAAGCGGCTCCGGCTGTTTGACTCTCCGCTCCCGTGCATGTCGTGCCATGTGTACCGTGATATATATGCGCAAGCATTACAGTGAGTCAGACATGCCCACGCAAAGGGCTAAGCGCACACTCAGAAGATGGCAGTCTGTATCTAAAACAGCAAACAACCAGATCTTAGGTTGGCGGATCGCAAACAGGACCTGAGGTAGCATATTGGCACGTAGTATGTATGATACGTAGTATGAGACACTCATTTCGCCAGCTGCTGTTTGATGAAGGAATCACTGTTGGTCATTTAGATCAAGATAAAGAAGCCGCATACCCCGGTTGCAGTGAACGATTCATGCCACACCCATCAGGCAAGCCCATCGTTTAGAGGTCCAGCGAGTCCACTGTTATATGCGTCAATCAGAAAACTTCCTCGACGACATGTTGAAATTTATTAAGCCTGCTTTGAGCTTGATCTTGTTATGCATGGTAGACTTGAATCTCGCCGCGCCGCCCACATCGCATTTGACACAAAGGGATCCTCAGACAACGCAACAGAGTGACATAAGCTGGTCAGATGTCAAAACCATCAATGGATGTTCTAGACAGAAATTCTTCACTTGTCGAATGGTGCGCGATGTTTGGTGCAGACTCGAATGTGTCACAGAGGTAAATTTCATGTTCTCCTACAGCAACATGCAGGCGCCGTGCTTGACCAAGAGCTAATCCAATGTAATCATTAGCCAGCATGTACAGCGTGTGAGGCACTGTTTAGTCTTTCATACAAAACATGCTACGATAACACCACGTACTTCGAGGACGAGCAGATCTCACTGCAGATCGAGTCAAAGCTGAGGTCAAATCCTACAATCTTGGAGCAATTTATGAAACTAGAATTACCATATTTCCAAAGTTTAAGCAAGAATGAGACTGCATCAGTCTGACTTCTGAAAACAAATTCTCGATTCCCTAGAGAAATTAGGTGTTTTCTGGAGACACAGAAGATTTTGAGGAAAGGGTCTGGAATGGGAGTTGAAGTGTAAGATTAAGGTGGACTCAGCTGGACTGGCGGAGGCTTTACTGAAAAATGATATCCCAAATAAGTCGATTGCTGATTCCACCATATCCTCCAGCTAATTTTGCGATGACTTACAAAGATCAAGACAGATAATACTTGCGATTTCGAGCTCGCTACTGTAGATTACCATTCCGGTTTGGTTGTTGGCTGCTTTTCCTTAATGTATGATCGTGTGATCTTCCCCTTTGCGCTTCATCCTTTATGGCCTAGGCAACAAATGGCCTCCCTTGATTCTGAAAATTTCGAAGTATACCTTAGCACTCCCGCACAATAGACAGTACATACACTTATCGATACTTGCATTGACTCGGCTTGCTGGGAATATTCATTGCGACATGGCTCAATACACTAACGTGTTCTGCGGTGCTGCTTCGGTAGAGGAGAGTCTACCTCTGCTATCACTTTGTACCTCTGAAGCAGGCTAGTCAATTGATAGGTCTCAAAGAAGTGATCAAGATATCGAAAGCGTGTATACCTTTGAATCTGTGTTATAATATGTTGCTCCTTGTCCTTCCCATTATTCAGGGGCAAGATGCAGAGAGAAATGCCAAGAAATATCACGTGCAAGCCCGACGCGCTAGTGCTTCGCGTCAAAATCAATCTTCCCAGCCTTCTCTTTTGTTCTCCATCACGATCAATCGCAAAACAAAATCATAACTCCTCGGACTAAGCCTACTGCCATCTAGAAACAATCAGCCATACCTCAGTCACATACATCATCCGACAGAAGCGTCACGTCCGCGAAAGCCTCCCCTCGCAAATCTCTCGCATTGTTTACAGTGCAACAAAATCAAGCAGCGCACCCTCCCTACAGTTCCCCGACCCCCACTCTCGTCCATCAGGATGGCCTACGCCTCTCGTACGCATCTGCACGATCCTCGTACCGTTACGACCTAACTATACTCGAGCCTCCTAGCACGGTCTCATATGGGTATTACCGGGTCTATGATGGTTGGATCTACGTGCTGCGCTCGCAAGTGCGAAGATGTTATGCGGGGAGAGTGGGGCTCGGAACTTAACCCTAAGATATGGTCGGTTCTTCCACGGATGTGGAAAAGGTCTCGCGAATATCATATAGCTGTCAGGCTCGCTACTAGCTTCCCTTCGGGGTTGTGACTGCAAGTTTTGACGTCCAGAGTCCTCGTTAAATCGCAGGCAGTGATGTGGGTGATTCAAGCGCCGTAATTGACAAGAGTCCTATTTTGGGCCGCGCTTCTTGATCCCTGCTGGGCATAGCTCTGGTCATTTATGGAATGTTATGTTGAAGCGGGGCGAGGATTTTGTTGGAAGAAGATGGATGGAATGTGTCGGGCGTCTTCCTGAAAGACTGCTCCTTAGTCTCGACGGTTGCTTGGTGTCTTTCCTAGGTTCTTGATATGGGTTCTTCGCAAAACCGTCCGAGTTGCTCTCTGCATTACTTTGGGGCTGTATCATGGGAACCTCCATCATTGTGCGCACGACTCTACTTCAGATCGGGTAGCTGTATCTTGTGGATGGGACGCTTGAAGGACTGAGCATCTTTTCGCTACCTTTGGTAGCACGCCTACAATAAGCTGCATTACAATCGTCTTTCCACCAAGCACTCAGCTGGTGCTAGGCAAAGGTTCACTCGCCGGAAATACGACTAGTCACATGGTTCATGAGCATTATGCTAGAACGTGACTCTAGTATCGCGAAGCCTCCCTGCCTACGAATTGAAACACGACGTTCTAGTAGCTGCTCAATCGAGCTCATGGCAAAAGGTCACGCTCTAGCAAGTCCTGAGTCCCACATGACACAAGGTTGGGTATCTGATCTGGACCAAGCGAGTGCAAGCAACGGAGTGACACTAGATACGACCGAGTCTCCACATGATAATCGCAGGAGCAAGGTCAAGTGAGGGGCTTCATGTCTTCCGAGGCAAGCCACTGAACTTTTTGTTGATTCTGTTAGGCGCATTCCCCACACTGGTCTGTGGGTTTGGAAACAGGCCATGATCAGAGCTCCATCTTCCACTCTCAACTCTTTCCTGAGCCACGCTCGCACTACCTGTGCCCCGGCACCAGCCACTGGCACAGAGCTCTCAAGCTGATTCCGACCAGTCGCGTTAGTCATCTCTTGTAGGCCTAGTCCTACAATGATTGGTGAGCACCGATATCAAGTCGTCTACCTGTGGCCTTCCGGACGCAGGATCACTAGGCGCAAGTCCCTCCGACATGGAGAAGAGAAGCGGTTTTTGTAGATGTGCTTTGTTCGTTTCTGCCCACTTGGGCAATTTGCCCGCCTACGAGTTCTGAAAGGATCCTTCGTTAGACGCGGAAATCAAAGAGTGTCTCTAAGGGTACTGCGATACATACGGAGAGATTTCGGATCGAGGTTGGATGTGCGCTGATGTTGGATATGACGACCTGTGAGACGAGAGTGGTCAGACATGATTAGGTGACGGGATGACGGTTTCTTCCAGAGTCTGTGAGATTGTTGGTGGTTGCATTGCTGATCTCTCGCTGGTGTAGCGAACTTTCAGTCAAAGCTCCAAAAGCTCAGAGCGAACGTATCTGCGCCAAACGCGTGAACTCGTCGACAACCTTGCTGTGGCTGATTCCAGGGTTTCACTATGCATAGCGTTCTCGCTTGTCGGTCTTAATCGGAGAGCTTGGCCCATCACCGTTTGTTGGAACATGGCAGCGCCCTAGGCCATATGTGTTACTAGACTACGCTGAGCAGTTTTGAGCATGTTGAGGAAAGGGTCTCAAATGCGAGGAGCAGGACCTCTCTCGAGTGAGGATCAAAGTCTGGGCTTGTCTGCTCCTCTGCGTTTGCCTTTGCGAAATATGATCGGTACCGCTTGCGGAAGACAGTTGCAGCTGTGGCTTCAGGAACGTATGTGTGTCTCTGAATGGGCGGCGGGACTTCAGCACTGGTTGAGGCAAGCCGGCAAGAGTGAGGCTTATGCTGGGAAGATGCTGGGACAGGGCTTGTGGGTGTGCTTCGCGCATTTGTCTGCATTTGGGGGTGTAATGAGAGTTTGGAGTTGCAACTGAGGTTCGATAGGGAGGGGAAGAAGCGATGGAAGGCCGAGGAGGCTCTTGGCCACTGTTGTTCTCTTTTCAAGAGTCCAACAGCGGCCACATCTTTTTTTGATAAGTCATATGGAAGCCGCGCCTACTATTATAGCTGACTGCATACAGGGACTTCTCTGGAAGATTTTGGTCGCCTCTTCCACGATACCGGAAATGTTACAGCCGTTCACCAAAGTCCCATTTCACGAGTAATGATCAAAGTGATAACAATGGAGATGCATGAGGTAGATGAGAAGGGATAGCTATACGATGTATACGTACGAGCTTGAGCTTCCTTTCGACTCTGATGATCATGTACACGAGTTGCTCTGGTAAAATTTGTGGCTCTGGAGATCTATGGATCTCATTTCGAGTCCAAATCGAGTTAGAGCAAGATCAATGACGTCGCGCGTCAGATCGCGCGACGTATAATTTTTCCCAATGCGCCTAGCAGGATTATCCAGGTCGCAAACAATTTGCCATGTTGTAGTAGCTGAATGTTCAGATGTTTGCGCACCGTTAGACAACCGAGTCTCTGTTGGTCGTGGGCTGCGCATTGCAATCGCTCTTCCACTTCACCTCAATTCCTATTCCCCTATTTGCCTTCCACGCCGCTCAACATGCCGAAAAGAAAAAGCCTCTCTACGGCAACAAATGGACCAGCTGTTACGACGGTTCCCATACCGCCACCTGGTATCGGAATTGATGAAGCTGCTCCCCCACCTCCAAAGCGTAGAGCTAGCGGAAGAAGGGTCTCGCAGCTTGCAACGGGCTCCACGAACCCGAATAAGAACGCCAACGTGCTTGATGGGCCGCAAGCGCTACGTGCATCGCCGGATGCAGATGAGAAAGATGAGCGCATGGACGTCGAAAATGCAGGCATGAACGCTGAAAAACAGATCAAAAAGGAGGATCCTCTGGAGGAGGGTGTCCCCAAGACCAAAGCGAAACAAAATGCGAAGAAAATTTCAAAACCTGCAGCTGAAAAGGAAGTCTTGAATACTCCAAAGATCAAGGAAACGAATGAGCCAAGCGCTAGCAGTGAGCCAAAGTTTCTCGATCCAGAAGCCGACGGCGGTGAGGAGGAGGCAGGCGAGGAGGAACTGCAGGCAGCCTTATCGAGACCTCCTCCCGTACATAGCGATTATCTACCTCTGCCGTGGAAAGGACGATTAGGCTACGTAAGTGAGCGCAGTTCGCGGAGCTAAATATCTGCTTACCATCATAGGCATGTTTGTGTACCTACTTGCGCTTCTCAAATCCTCCGGTTTTCACCTCAAGGACTTGCCGAATTGCCTCAATCCTCGAGAATCGCCATCCTTTGAAGGACCCTAATGCGCCACCACACGCAACAAAGAACAGACCAGACCGAGAGCTGCCAGCTGATATTGCCAGAGGACAGCAATTCGTGGAGAGTTTAGGCAAGGCAAATGCCAAAGACATTGTCAAGATGCTGAGGTGGAATGACAAGTATGGCATCAAATTCATGCGACTGAGTAGCGAGATGTTCCCCTTTGCAAGCCATGAAGAGTACGGCTATAAGCTTGCACCTTTTGTCTCAGAAGAGTTGGCTGAAGCTGGAAGAGTGGCAGCTGAGTTGGGGCATCGACTGACGACGCATCCTGGCCAGGTACGTACGTCCGTCTCCCTTCATGGCGCAATTCGACTTACCCATAATAGTATACTCAGTTAGGGTCTCCAAGGAAGCAAGTCATTGACAATGCTATCCGCGATCTTGAATACCACGCCGAGTTGCTCGACCTTCTAAAGCTTCCGCCACAGCAAGACCGAGATGCAGTAATGATCCTGCATTTAGGCGGTGTCTTCGGTGATAAAGAAGCTACCCTGAATCGCTTTCGTGAAAATTACGCAAGGCTGGCTGACAACATCAAGAAGCGGCTCGTCTTGGAAAATGACGATGTCAGCTGGTGTGTGCATGAGCTTCTTCCTCTATGCGAAGAGCTTAACATTCCAATGGTTCTTGACTTCCATCATCACAACATCATCTTTGATGCCAATCAGATTCGAGAGGGGACCAAGGGCATCATCGATGTTTTCCCACGCATTCTTGCGACATGGAAGCGGAAGAATATCACCCCAAAAATGCATTACAGTGAGCCGACACCAGAAGCAATTACTGGCCGTCAGAGGAGAAAGCACAATCCACGAGTAGCAACACTACCACCATGTCCCCCAGATATGGATCTCATGATCGAGGCCAAAGACAAAGAGCAAGCAGTCTTCGAGCTCATGCGTACTTTCAAATTACCAGGTTTCGATTTGATCAACGACATCAACCCCCATCAACGGAAGGACGACAACAAGCCCGTCACTACACCTAAGAAAAAGCAACCCAAGAAATCAAAGAAAGTCAAAAGCGAGGACGACGCTGCAGACGATATCTCCGAAATAGCCGAAGAGCCCATTCAGCAAGTCATCCCCGAAGAAGAAGTCGGCATGGGCGGTCCAGACCGCCGGGTCTATTGGCCTCCAGGTCAAGAGCACTGGCTGCGACCCGTCAAACGCGTCGTGAAGAAGAAGGAACCCAATCCAGAAGGCGAAACGGACAAGAAACTGACGCCGGCGCAAAAGAAGAAAGCCGCTGCTGAGGCCGCTGAAGAGGGCGCAAAGGTCGAAGAAGAGGTCTACGGCAACGGCGTAAAGAATGAAGACGAATCAATCGCCGCAACGCCAACGCCTGCGAGCAAGAAGAAGCAAGTGCCTGCTGCGAAGGGGGCGAAAACCAATGGAGCAAAAGCTAAACCTGTGAAGAAAGTTGTCAAGAAAGAAGCTACGCCGACGCTGACGGAGGAAGATGATGAGGAAAGCGAGCTTTCGGACCTTGAGGACTCGGACCTGGAAGAGGCGCTGAAGCCGAAGAGGGCTAGAACTCAGGTGAATGGGGTAGCAAAGGGAGGCAGTCAGAGGCAGAGTGGGAGGGCGAAGAAAGTCAGTAATTATGCTGAGGGATCGGATGAGGAGGTTTGATCCCCACGCGACAGATGGTATTGAGCAAGAGGAGGGTGTGCGGAGTCAACACTGCGTCGGTCGATTTTTGGGACGGGGAGCAATTGCATCGCGTTGGCTTGGTCTTGGTCGAATGAACATTCAGGAGATCGAGAAGTATAGGAGTGAATAAAATGCCGACGGCGCAGCAATCTCAGGGCCACATATAAAGTCGTCAAGTCCAATTTCACTTTATGGAAGGGGCAATGGCGAAAATTCTGGAGCCTTTGATTGACCGGGAAAATCTCCTCCAAAGTTTGTCATAGGATTTTGTAAATAGTAATGCACACAGACAAGGCATAATAGTATTGTGAATGAGTATGAATATGGCCGTTGGTTGAGAATAACTCACGAATGCTACTTCTTGGTCCTGAATCCCTGAATACACCAGACAGCTGCATATCGAACATCTCTTTATTCTAACCTTAACTCGTACACGACAAGATATCAACAAGACCCGTTCAGCCGTCACTCGACAATCGAAAAGCCTGTGTAGCCTCGGAAAGAAGTGGCAGAACGGGGCTGCGTGGAGATCTGACCCTTTTCCCTGCCATTTCAAGTTTTTCCACAACACCTTGCTGCCTCATTGACGATCTTGCTGTCTTGCCGTGGTCGTTCTCTTGAATGGCCACGTTCAGGATACACACCACTGATCTATGAAGGACTTCCTCATCCTCGTCATCAAGTGTAGCTATAAGTAGCCTGATACCGCTTTCCAATTTATTAATCGCGTCAATGACTTCCCAAAACTCGGTGAGCGTGGCCAAAGCCCCAGTAGCAGCCTTGCGGGTGGGTAGATCTGGCGAACCACCAAGTGCCAAGAGGACATGGAGGCGTCTTGAAGCTTCAGGTGATCCATCTGCGTACATTGCAATACCGTTTGCGTCTTGAACGAGGTTGCATATCAGCTCCACGGATGCCCTCCTTAACATAGAGTTGTTGCTGAGAGTCAGATCTTCGACAGCTGTTTTACTTTTCTTGAGAATTATTGGCACAGTCCCGTTTGTTGGATTCGAGCATAGATTCGTTAATGCGAGAAGGGCTTCGAATGTCGGTAGTAGATCTCGCGGGCCCGATACTGCGTCGACAGAGTCTAGGTCGAGGAGTGGCACAAGTAGGTCTATGCAGGCCCATAGAAGGCCATTTCCTGACGGTCCGAACAACATTTCCGGGTCGACTGATGTCAAGAGCACGGCGATCGCTTGACCAGCCTGCCGCTGCAACTCCTTGTGTTGGTCGACAGCTACTGTGGAGCCCTCCTGCAGTGGACTTCCGAGGGCTGCGAGCATCTTCACGGCTCCTTGTTGAATTATGATCCTTTTCGTTGGCTTCGAAGTTCTGACCATCGAAGACAGAATCTTCACCACTAAGTGCCGAGAATTCGGTGTCAATTTCTTAATCATATCACCTAGTGTAGACACAATACCACAATCGACAAGAGTCTTGCAACGGGCCGTGACTGCAGTCACCTCGTTCAAAGGGTCGGGCTTGGCTGATGAGGGTGCTGCATTGGCATAAGCTTTGAGCTCAGCAATGCGCTTTTGCTCCTCTGAGAGCACAGGTGGTAGGGCAGTCACGTTCTCTAGGATTACGAGTCCTCCAAATACCGCAGTCGATTGCGATTCGGCTTGACGTAACTCTTGCAGCAAGACTTGTAGTAATCTACGGTCATTCACGAGTTGTTCTTTGACCTTCGGCCGTGTAGACTGATGGGCTAGAGCTTCAAATACAGAGTCCCTATTCGCTTTGGGGTCCTCGAATAGCAGCTTCGTTAGTTTTTCTACCAGCATTCCTGTCTCCATCGGCTTTTCGCTTTGGGTAGCCACACCATCCTTCTTCTCCGGAGTACCTTGTATTTTCGAGAGCACAACAACGGCTAAAACAGACCTCTGTTGCTCATCAGATGTCGTACATTTTTGAATCCAATCGAGACAATGTTTTCTAATTCCGTCCCTACAAGCGCTTTCAATGCAGGCAGCACTGAGCATCTCTAGGGCTGCAACCACAACGTGCTTTGACTTCGTCTTTTTCTCTAGCAGTGGTACCAGCGATGGCAAGAATTCTCGAGTGAGGAACATGGTTGCCGCCATTGGTGTAGCAATAGGAAACACGGCAGCCGCCGCGGAAAAGGCGAGGACCAGACCATCGTTCGTCTGCTTAGCAAACCGAGTTGTCACATATCTGGTGAGCATAACCTGGCCTCTAGTCTGCGAAGCTTCGAGGAATTTAGCGGTTGCTAACATTGCCGGGCTTTTTGTTGAGACAGGGTTGCGATAATCGAGCTGGGATAGAATCGCGTCGAACATTTCCTCGTCAATAAGAGCCTGCAATCTCGGTGCATCTGTAGCAAGTAGTCTAGAGAGCTCTCGCATCGCTCGGCTATCATCGTCGTCTCCAACTTCCAGTAATTTCGCCATATAAAGATGCAAAAGATCCTCTTCACACGCATTTCGTTCTTCCTCACGCGGCCATGCTCCCGGGCTTAAGACCACCGTGGTCATAGCAGCCGCTCCAGCTTCGCCAATTGTGTATATCTCATCGAATACAATTGTAACCCCTCTTTCTCGCAGCCTCTCCGCTATGGCAGTCTTCGCGGAAGCAGAGTGCCGCAATAGGCCAGAGAAAATCCCCTCAAAGAGTCCTGGTCTTCTCGTAGGCTCAACATTCAGTAAAGTGTGCATGCATATCTTCGCAGCGTCTGGGGATGCCTTCTCTGTGCTGCTCAGATATTTCATAGCTTCCTTGCCCGCTTCCTCTTGCTGGTCGAGGATGTACCTCTTACAGAATTTGACGAGCGTTTGCTCTTCATCTTCAAGCTGGAGCTTCGAGATGGTGTTCCGAACGAGATCATTGTCCGGTGCGAGATGAGCAGCCTCTTGTAGCGTGCGATGTGCGTCCTGCAGAATATCCTCAGCATTGCGACGAAGAGGTGCTCGGTAATCGCCAAACCTTGGCGCCACCACCAGAAGCGATGAGGTCTGCAGCACGGCAAGCCAGTACTTCTGCTCTTTTCTCTGCTTCGCTCTGTCGCTCTTCTTGGGCCATGGACGAGTCTCTAAGATGACTCTGGAAGTTGAAAGACTTGATTCATCCACAACGCAGGAATGAGGCGAAGAAATGTGCCGCCTTCCTGACTCAGTTTTTTGGTTCGTCCGACGTCCACTCTACAAAGACCAAACAACTCCAGAGTTCTGACACATCATAGCGTGCTGGTCGCGGCTTAATACTAATGACTCTGGCGGGCATTTAAATGAGTGGTGGCTCTGGAAGGTGCAGTCATGCAGCGAACCTCATATAACAAACAAGCGCGACCATGAACGCTGTAGATGGGTCAGACCACTACAGCAAGACTTCGGACGGTAAGCATGACATGGAGGGTAGAGGGCTAGTACCAGCGCTGACATACGTGCCAGAGGCACCTGCATCTCTCTTGACTATCGTACTCGACACAAACCCTCATGCTTGGGCTCTTCTTGCGCCAACGCTTCCACTTTCAGCAGCTATCGCCAACCTTCTCGTCTTCATAAACGCCCATCTAGCCACAAACAATGCAAATACAGTTGCCATAATTGCTAGCCATACGCAGCAAGCCGAGTTCCTCTACCCAGCACCCTCCTCATCCAAAAACATTCAAACGAACACCAACGGAACTATCCAAAATGGCACAGACGAAGACACCGAGATGGCAGACTCCTCTCGCTCCTCCTCCCCCACCCAACCCGACATCGCCGACGCAAATCACTACCGCCCCTTCCAGCAAATACAGCGCATCCTCCTCACCTCACTCCAGTCCCTCCTCTCCTCCACGAGCCCCGACTCCCTCACCCCAACAACCTCCATAGCGGGCGCCCTTACCCTCGCTCTCACATTCATCAACAAGCAAACGCTCCTCAGTTCCTCTCCCGCCGCACAACAAAAATCGGCCGCTCCCTCCTCCGCCGACCCCACGAGCTCCACCAGCCCCTCCCTCATTTCTCGCATCCTCGTCCTCTCCGTCTCCGGCGACCTCGCGCACCAGTACATCCCGATCATGAACACAATCTTCGCTTGCCAGCGTCTAAACATCCCGATTGACATCTGCAAGATAGCGGGTGATACTGTGTTCCTGCAACAAGCGTCCGATTCGACGAAGGGAACTTATATCAAGCTCGAGCATCCCAAGGGACTGTTGCAGTATCTCATGATGGCATTCCTGCCGGATCAGACGGCGAGGAAGATGTTGAATGCGCCAACAGCCGCGACGGTAGACTTCAGAGCAGCGTGTTTTTGTCATAGGAAGGTGGTGGATGTGGGCTTCGTTTGCAGTATTTGCTTAAGCAGTAAGTGAGCTCCTTTCGCCTGAATTATGTGCGTGTTACTTGCTGATGGGCGGGAAAGTCTTCTGTTCACCGCCTGAGGGAGCAATTTGCTTGACTTGTGGTACACACCTTAAATTGGGGGACTACGGGGCTAAGCCTGCCGTTATGGTTAAGAGGAAGAAGAAGAAAAACAAGGAAAAGGAAAAGGAAAAGGAAAAGGTGTGATGGGTCACAGTTAGTAGTCGACAAACACTCCGAGGTTTACGACTATTGCTACAGTATATCAATACTCGGACACTCTTACTATCATGCAATGCAAGGCCCCGTCATCTGCATGTCTCGGGCAATTTGTTGCGACTGGAACTTTGGCCTTCGTGTCCAATGTGTCAGGATGAATACAGACTAGATTATACCTGTCTACTGGCTTATGTTCTCTTGATATTTTGCATTCCGCACTAGCTGAACGAAGAGGACGACGAAGGGGAAAAAGGAACAGGTAATCCACAGCCATCGATACGGTATTGTAGGTAGAAGCTATCAAGATATCATCTCAGGGAATGTGATTGCAGGGCCATCTTCTCAGTCCCTGTCCTTTCACGTCTTTTCGCTCAGTATTCCTTTTCCAAGAATCGACTAGACGTACAGGGCATGAGAGCTTTTCATTCGTCATGGTTTTAAGTCGTCGGAGGGCCGTGATCTAGCGTTCAGATCTCTCTGCTTCGGCTGGAAGCTTGTGTAATCGTAATTTCTTGCATGTCCATCTATCGAAGATTACTTCACCGCTTTGTCTTCATCTTGGTCAAATTGCTGCTCTAGAGCTTCTGGGACAAAATTGTCATTCCTCAGCGCTTCCTTTTCGTTCAGATCTACTTCCATATCCCCAGCTTTCATTTTGGGGGATATTTGCTTCATTGGAAAGTCTCTCCTTTGTCGGAGAACTCGGCGTTTTTTCAGAGCCTTAAGTGCCTCTATTTTCTTCTTTGATTTGGGACCCTTCGTAGGATCTAGTCAATCTGTCAGATGAAAACCGAGCAACACAATTCGGCAAGCAAAGACTTGCCATAGCGAACAACGCCGCCTCCAGTGACTACGTTTGGTTTAGAAAAGTTTCGAGACATTACGCATTTTGGCTCGGCATCGTCCCCGCCCATATATGCAATAGCCTGTCTCATACGTCAGTCAACAGGAAGTAGCAAAATGACACTTTCTTACAAAGGAATCAGTGGTGTGACCGAAATGAAGGTAAATTGCATCTGGCGTCTTCTTGACGGCTAGAACCCCTATAGCACCGCGCACCGGGGTCGCTCTGACGCTTGGATGGCCTTTCACGAATCAATAAAACGTGCTCACATAGAGTCGGAGACTTAGGACTCACGCGAGAATTCTTTTTCTATCCAGGCCCGCAGTGCAGTTTCCTCATCAGTCGGATCAAGCCGGCCGCCCTTCCCACGACGAGTTGAAGTATAAACGCGTTCCGCGCAAAGTCCTGCAGCCATAGTTGTAGCGATATGCTCGCCAGTACCGCTTGTAACACAAGCAACGGATACTAAATCCTCGTCGTCATCGGTGTCTGCAGGAATTACAGCTGTGCCGATGTTTATCAGTGCCGCTGGCCCCACACGACCCTTGTGCTTCAGGCCAGTGCCACCCGAAGACGAAGCAGCAGCGATATTCCCGAAAGAATCTACAGCTATCACCCCGACGGTGTCCGTAATGATATCCTCTTTTGGAACTTTTTGAGTCGCATCATAGTTTCTTGAGTACAATTCACTGGTCGGTGCGGAGGCGAGATCTGAAGCCACAAAATCCAAATTTTTATTTGACATCAGAGCATGATGATCCGCTTCATTTGTTCCAGTCAGGCGAGATAAGCTTGGCGGAAGAGACGGGTTGGAGCGAGTCATGCCGAAAGAGTATAGCCCATTGAGATCTGTATCGTCGTTCCATCCGAAAGCTGCCTCGAAAAATTGCTCGCTCTGGTCATTCGCTTTTATTCTATCTATGGGTATTCCATTGACGGATTCTATTTGATCGATATCGTACTGCTGAGGCCGTTTGAGAGCTCCTTTTGTCTGAGAAGGAGAGCGTTTCTTGACCCTGGGAATAGGAGGTATTGTTGCGTCTCCAAATTCAGATCCAGGAATGCGAGGTGTTTGTGGTTGACCCTCATTCCATAAGCTTATATTGTCAGAGGCTGAGTACTCGGGATCTATGTTGTCCTGCACAGAGTCCACTGCAATGCTGCTAGCCTCGTCTTCCTCGTCTTCCTCTTCTTCCTCAGCCTTATCGACTTGGCTCTTCCATTCAGAATGTTTGCGCCCTGCTGCAGGTGCTACTAGGCATATCGGGTGACAGGTGCATATGCCATGATCTTCAGCAAATTTTAGAGCTCCATCTCCTGTGAGGAGATTGGCTGGCACACGGCCAAACGAGAGTCTTTGTTTAGTCTGCTCTAAAACTTCTCGAGCTGCGTGAATGGGGTTTTTGACGCCTGACATCGTTAGAAGATCCTGTTCTGGCCATGAGCACATGAGCTTCCTGACCTTGGAGAGCACCAACTGCCCCACTTCGACCAAAATGATCTACGATTGATGCATCACACTCCACTTCTCCGTCAAAGTTTGGATTGCTTCCAAATCCACAATTTGTGATCGGACAGTCTTCCATTGTTCGTACTCCCATTTCGCAAGCATCCACTGCCGTAGCTCCATTAAGCATCAAAGTCATGCCGGACCTTGCAGCGCTTCAAAATGTCAATACATACATCATTGCCCTGATTGAATTGCGCGCTGGGAGATTATATCCGAAAGGAATAGAGGAAGAGGTCATGTGAGACTTACTTTGCACAAGCAGCAAGGTGGTCTTTTTCATGCTCAAAGCTATGGACTCCGGCGCCAGCATGGACGAAAATTGCTACTTGGTCCCCACCGAGCCGAAGGTGTTGATTTGATTCCATCGCCCCATCCATTTGTGGTATTGAAGTGTACAGCCGATCATTATTCGATTGCTCCTCTGATAATTGTCGATCGTGAGAAGCTGCTATTGCTTGAGAGAGATGTGCAGCTGCCGAGCGTCTTTCAATATAGCTAGGTTCCTGGTAAGCGGCCATAGGATGTAAGATCGAGATCAAAATTTGAGGAGTGATTTGGTAGTGAGAGAAGTAGTGTTGTCCGGTGTGAATGTGAATGATAACCCCCGCTAAAGATGTGGAAGTTAAGATGTCAGAGGAAAGGTCTTTTCGAAAGTAGTCCAAAAGAAAAGGATCGAGAGCTGATTGACACTTGCCAAAGTGTGAACCAGAGACGGCCAGTGAAATGATTTTGACAAAGAAGGTGCAAATCGCCCATCAAGGGACAGGCGACGGGTCATCTGCAGGCACAATTAGGAGAGAGGCTGCGAAGGCAAGATGGTTTGATGCGTGATAATCTTGACAACACACTGTCAGTCAGAGGGACAGAAAGCTGCTGACGACCAGCGTCAGGGCGAGTCGCATTAAATGTTCTACACTTCCGCGCAAGCAATCTTCATCTGCATGTTCTATTTTCTCTGAATGAGGATGACAGGGCTGTTAGAGATCTAGAAATGCTCGTGAATTGCGGAGTCAGTAGGGATGTGGATGGTTCAAGAGCACGTCGCGTTCGCGCCAACTATCTGTGTCGAACCAGCAACCCCTTTAGGGAAAGGGCTATTGAGGGGCAATTTGCTAGACTACAGCTTTCGTGAGACTCTCGTCCACACAAGCTGTTCAAGACTACATTAGACGTACTCACATGTGTGAAGATCACCTCACGACCTGAAAGAGCTTACCTTCTGCTGAAAATTGCAGCTTCTAGGATCCTGACCTTAGGATACCTGTCTCCTGCTGATGCTCTAACACAGCTTAGATCTCGACTAGAGAATGAATTCTATGCTCGTTTGATAGCCCACTTGATGTCTTTAATGCTGACCTCTTCGGAGGTTTTCTCATCATAGTCGTACCATTCACCCTCTTGCAAATCAATACCAGCGAATTTGGTAACCGATTCGAATCCTTTCGCAGTCCATTCACCCTGAATACACTTAGTTTGATACATGTGCAGGAGCGCCTCCCTACCTCGGCCTTGAACTCAATAAATTCCAGACCACGACAGTCAATCACAATGACTTGATGTGGCCTTGGTGGGGAAGCCTGAACGTAAGGCCTTGGAGATTCATTGACTGTTGCGCTTGATTCTCTCTTCATAGAATCAGAAATGAACGTTTGATGAAGGACGACAGCAAAACCTTGCAAACTTTACAGCGCCAGACGAAATTTGCTTCTCCCCTACTTCCAGAAACTTCATTTGTTTCCTGGCAAGAGTCAGCTCTATCCTTATGCCCATACGGCCAAGCTGACAAAACGACTGAAAGTGATCCAGTTCGGATGGACTTCTCGGCAGTGGGTGCACTGGACTTTGAATGTGTAGTAATATGGTTCGTCTGCTGTATCTAGGGGTAGCAGATCGGACACGCTACATCTATGTAAGCCATACATTTGTAAAGCTCGTATGATCTGACCCATTCAATTCTGCTTCGACGGTTAAGGCAAGCATTACTCGCGATCATGAAGCATCTTGGAAACGCGAAATGTGGCAGTGACTGTATCTCCCCTCCCTCCCACTAGGGCATTTGCAGAATCGGGAAAAAGGTATTTCCGAACGCCGAGCGTGGGCAACAATGCTTTCAATAAGTACCCTGAGCAAAGTAATCATCACATACGCTACGATCGCATGGTATGCAGCGGAACCATGCGTGACATTATTGTTGGCCGCATTCCGTTCGAAGGATGTGGAGTCTATGGAACAGGTCGATGCGAGCTCGAGCGCTATGCGGCCGTTCAGCTTGCACGACCACCCGCGGTGCCGTAACTCGAAGGCCGATTCTCCCTGCTCGAAGGGGAGTAGGTCGGTCTGACGTCTATTGTTTCTTATCATCGACGTTAGCCTTTTCGGCTACAGTGATGGATTCCCTGAGGAAAGACGCGAGGAGTAGACAATGGGAAAAAGTCATCGGAGACGCCAAAGACCAGATCGCAGCCACAGAGGCGGAACAAGAACGTCGTCTCAAGGCTCTGGTCGATACGACCAAAGAAGAAAACTCTACGCCAAAAGAACTTCCTCCGTCGACACCAGATTTGTATTGGGATACAACTTGGTCGACTGTACTTGACTGGTGCTCAGCACAAGACGCTGAGAGATACTCTGCTGGCTTTCAAGGTTGGCAGGGCATGCCGTTGCATTTCCTTAAAAGTCGTACTCAATTTGAACTACAAGTAATACTCAACCATGAAAGCATCCTTCACAAATTTTACGGCGGCCCAAACTGTGAAGAATTGGTACCCAATCCACAGGGTTATGCTCTTACCAAAAAGAAGATGCGCACGTTGGAATGGTCAATCCTCAAGCTTACCATCCAACTCCTGAGCCACTGTCCCTCTATTGATGAAAACCATACCATTGTACAAAAGCATTACGGGAAGACCATAGCAAAGACTGTATCATGGGACGGTAACCGATGGGCAGACTACCTTGATGAGGCGAATAGCCGTCTTGATACGCTCCATCACGAAGACTGTGACTCACATATCTACGAGACTTTCCCTTCTCCGAACGCGCCACGATTTGTACACAGCCCAAGTGAAAAGGAGAATGAGCTCAAAGATTTCAATTTCACACTATATGAAATGCTTCATGAGATGACGTCTTTGTCACCTGCCAGCATATCGGAGATATGTGCGCGACTATTGCGTCTAGAGATCGCTCCAGACATCAATACTTACAACCTGCTTCTGATCAGGTTCTGCCAGCTTCGAGAGTACCACTTAGTCCATGCAATATTGCGTTCTCTTCGTGAAACACTGACAAGACCGAATGAGATAACACACGCAACGTTATTAAGATTTTTCGCAGTCACAAAAGATAAATGTTGGTTTAGGAAGTATCTAGATCTGATGAATGGTTTGCACGGTGGTCTAGTATTAGCTTGCCCTGGACGCCCCATTTCTACACTATCGCGGTCGCGGTATCAATGGTTCGATGGAATCAAGACCATCAAGATTGCGGAGAAATCACGCCTGAACGCGGAAGTTTATACATGCATAATTTCAGGCATTCTACAAATGTTCAATCCTCAGGAGGCCATGATATACTACTGTAGTATGGTAAGTGAGGGCTGGAAGCCAACAATGCAGCTTCTCACCGTAATTCTGAAAAATTGTCAGTATCAGGGGGACTTAGACTCAGCAAACAAAATCTGGCAAAAGATACTGTCTCTGCAGGACCAAGGGGAGTCAATTCGTCAAGAGGCATATATCTATATTCTAGATTTATGTCACCGCTTTCGAAGCACATCTACATACCGACAGATTTTCGATGATGGCGTGGCTTGTGGTGATTTGTCTACAAGTTTCCGCCTCGATGACTACCCGTCAAGCCACACCACTGAAGCAGTCAATGCAGACTCAAGAAAGTCAGTAGACTCTGACGAGCAGCCCAGAGACCTGTCTCAATCACAGGCAACTCTAGAAAAGGAGACTGCGCCTTTACACCTCCGCGGCATGAGTGATAGACCGACAAGGCAAGCCCTCACACCCACATGTTTGCTCTGGATAAATTATGGCAAAATCGGCCTGACCACACTTTTATCTACATCAAAACTTGACCGCGCCTGGCCCAAATTTCAGAAAAAGTATCCTTACTTAAGCGAGAGGGTCGTAGTGGATTCCATCTCCGACCATAAAAACAGCCAAAGCTCAATAAGGCTTCAATACAAGTATTCAGAATTGTACAGCAGCCTTGTCCAGTCGATGCAAGATGAGAAGGAGACTCACAACTATGTCATGTGGCTTCAACAGCGTTGTGCTCTGAGCAAGAAAAACGTTGAAACTCTTGTCAAAGATGCTCAAACTTTGTTGAGGCTGAAGCGTACGTTAGTGGCAATGAATGAAGAATATGAAACCCTCTTAAGTCTCCGAAAGTCGATAGCCGCCATCGAGACTTCACTACAGACCATCTCATCTAGCCTAGCGGTAACCGCAAACGAGGTTGGCGGCCCTACTGAGGCTTCATCAGTTCTTGATCGTCAGAATGCGAACATTCATGATAGATTGCATAGTGCAGGCACTTTAGAAGTGGATAAAGCATATCAAGAATTTCGAGAGACGACAAATCAGATACAACCGACGGAAACGACCAAAGCTGCGTATAACGAAGCCCTCAGTTTGCACCATAAGCGAGTCCGCGCTTTGGTGCCACATTGGCTGGACTCTCAGCCTCAGCCTCAGCCTATACCGTTGGAGGCGGGTTGAAAGGTATTACAGACGCTAGCTAAGCGGTACAGACTCAATTCCAGACTTAAAGAAGGTATTCGTTGGTATCAAGCGGAAATGCCACACTTGGGTGCTCCGTTTAAGGCTGTCTGGCAGGCGGTAGGTAAAGACTCAGCTTGCCACGACGCTTCTGGGAAATCCAATCTCGCAACCCAGCATTCCAGGGCCTCACCGGATGTCAGCACCAAAGACCCTTTCCGTATCGGCTCGACATGGCCGGTATTTCGCAGCTTGATGCAAGCTGTTGCTGCTGATATAGCTTTGTGTGACCTGACAAACGCCATTACTCTGGCAAAGGTGGGTTTCAGGAGACGTCTTCGACACGAACGCTTGCAAGCGAGGAAGCATGAAGAGTGAGCGAGGGGATTTATTACAACATTGCCCAGCACATGGAGATGTTTGGGAAACGTCCTGGAAGCGGCTGTTCTCAAGTACGCACTTGTTCGAATACAAGGGCAAGAGGAAGTCAAGTAACGCGGAGCGTTTTCAATGTATTTCGCTCCAAGGCGGGTCCTGGACTTGTTCATCAATAGTTCACATCATACATGAACAATCATATCGGATGAATCAACCGATCAATCACTTCCTCCCCCACTTCCACCACTATCAGAAGAAGAAGAAGACGAGCCACTCCTCCCCTCATAATGCTCGCCGCCCTCATGTCCTCCATAATGTCCCCCACCGTGCCCACCATGGCCCCCACCATGCCCCCCACCATGGCCCCCCTTAACCTTTTTCATTAACATACCTCCAACCAACCCCGCTGCCCCTCCACCAGCCAACGCGCCATACTTCCCCTTCGAATCCTTCTTTTTCTCTTCCCCCCGTGTTCTCCCGCGCCATGCGCGGCCGGAGCACCGTAAGCGCCACCACCGAATCCTCCCGCGGGAGGCGGGGGCGCGCCGTGTTGAGGGAAATTGTGCGGATCAGGATGATCCCATTGTGTTTGGCCCGTGGCCTGGTTCACGTAGTACCAGCGCTGGGACTGTTGGTCGAACTGGGCGTGGAAGCCATTGGGAACTTGAGGGGGCGAACTCGGGTTTGGTGCCGAGGGAGGAGGAAAGCCGTAGCCGCCGCCTCCATGTTGAGGCTGTGGGCTCGGTCCGCCATAGGGGGAGGGTTGGTGGGGGTCGGGTGCTCCATAGCCCTGGGGTCGTCCGTAGGGAGCTTGTTGCTGGTGTGGTGCACCGTAGCCTCCGCCTTGAGGCTGTGGGCTACCGCCGTAAGGAGCTGGGAGAGGGTGTCAGTGAGGGCAGTATGGACAGAGTAGCGGAGATGGGGATAGGCGAGAGAGCTGCTCAGTGGGGAAAGAGCGATCGCGACACACCTGCATGCCCAGCCTCCTGTTTTTTCTCGCCAGAACCCAGGAATTTCTTCGCCTGGTCGATTTCTTTGCTGTACTTCTTGAGGAACGACATACTGACGATTTGTTCCTTGTCAACTCGACAATGGAAGGATGCAGAAGCGACGGCGAGAGGTTGAACTGCTCGTAGTCCCTTGTGGGCTGAAGCTGAAGCTAGAGCAGCAGAGCTGACCGATCTATACTCTATCTGACATTGAATTTCGATTCAGACCAATCGGAACGACTCCGTAGACGAGAACCATTGGGTGGTACGACTAGCCGATATCACGTCTTCTCTTCAACCAGAGCAATTATCGCGATGTAAAGGTTATCAACGGCCAGGATCTTATTACTGGTAAGAATATAGTTGAGAAACAATGGTCAAATCATCCTCAGCGTTTTCGGGGGCGAAGGACGGCGCAATGTATCTTTTCGTAGCCGACCTTGGGACAAGAGTTGGCGTGACCGGCAACGACTCCTGTGGGTCGCCACTGCAGCATTATCTGGCAATAGTCATGTGGTTGGATTATCTTGACTCTTGAGGATGCTGTTGCGGTCCTGAAACGCATCTGAAGAAATGTCGCGCCAGGCGCGGCACAGCCAGGCTTGAGCGGATCGGTTGACCATTTCGCGCAAGATAGGCTGAGATAGGCATAGTACGTCCACTTGGATGACGGTCCATAAGGCTCGCTTGGCTCACACCTCAAGCACTCTTCTACCTCTCTAGTGGCTCCAGAGCTTTGGCACATGGCACACGCAGATTCTGCTACGGCGTAGACAGACCCTCCTGCGGTGTTTGCTCCAGCGGAGGTCGGACCCCATGGCCGTCAAACAACGCGATGACTTTAGCCGCATCTCGCAACCAAGTGCACGTTGCACTTAGACACTGGTACCGACGTGGCACGGTGAGAGCGGTGACAGTCCCTTGAGCTTAAAGATGATACGATCCCCCCACTTCTGCAAATCGTTTCGTTCGCATGAGCTGGTCTCTGCCTTTCTCTCGCCAATAAGAATCTGAATCCTCTATCGATGCGAGTTGCGCTGTGTGGAGTGCGTTCATCTAGATCTCTAAAAACAAATAGAGAGCAAATGCCATGGATGACGTGATGGGTACAGCCTCCATGGCTCCAAGGCCAGACTTTGACCTCTATGCCGATCGAGGAGACGGACTCGTCCGGTCGATGATAGTATTGATTGTCTTGTCTATCACTTTTGTACTTCTTCGCCTCGTATCTCGCAAGGTTGCTCACGCTGGCTATTGGGTACTGAATCCACGATAAAAGAAGCGCTCTAGATTGGCTGATCTGTGTTGTAGTGGGACGACGTACTTGTGGTGATAGCCTTGGTACTACTGCTCACTACACCTCGTCGAGAGGAGGCGAAGCTGACCTCGTTCAAAGCTCTTGTCGCTCGTGAATCCAGCTCTCAATATCGAGGGTAAGAGGCCAGGACTGTCTTCCGTCGAACATTGTCGGCTGACAAATTGCACAGCGGTGAATCATACGGGCTTCGGCAAACACGTTACTCGTCTCGGCACGAATGCGGATACAGACATCGCCAAGTCCGCAAAGATACTCTTCATCTTCCAAATTTTCTTTGCGCTGTCAACAGGGGTCATCAAGCTCTGCATGTATGTGTACAGCGTTGGACTTGTGAGGGGCGAAATACTTACATAAATTTAGCCTTGTCTTCTATAGAAGAATCCTCCCTGCTCAACAGCTACGAATGGTGCTTCTCACAATAAGCGCGATCGTCATATCATTCACTGTTGCGGTCATTCTTATTACAATTTTTCAATGGTGGGTGAGCAACTGGACCACTTCAACCATTTCGCTTACAATCGCAGTACGCCAATACCGAAATTCTGGGATCAGTCTCGCGCAGGCTCCTGCCTTGACATCTTCAACATACTCATGATCACGGGTTCAATCAATACTGCGCTTGACTTTGTAGTCGTCTTGTTGGTTGGTCTACTAGTGTGATTACGCGTCCTACATGACTAGCGCTAATCGCCCCTAGCCGGTTCCTCTCCTTTGGCAACTTCGGACTTCCAAGAGACAAAAGTGCCTCTTGACGTTTGTCTTTCTCATTGCAAGCTTGTGAGTTGTCTATTGCTTCCGGAAGGCGGGATCCCGCTCTCCACAAATTTCAATTGGCTAAGAAGATTCTTCTGCAGCGTATGTGTAGTGAGCATTCTTAGACTCGCTGTCTACACGAAGAAGTACAATGGCACTGATATAACCTGGCATTCGGCCGATGTCACCCTTTGGTCGGCTACAGAGCCGTGTGCGGGTGTTATGTGTGCCTGCATCCCGTCGCTCCGCCCGCTGATTACCTCGATTCTTCGCGCCGTACATGTCAAGCTCCCTACGTTCCATCGTTCATTCAGCAGCATAGCACGCCGGCCTTCAAGTGCCTCGTCTCATCTCCTCTGGATTATGGAAGCAAAGGAGAGGGCTAACAGCGATGCGGAGTGTCAGCTACCCCAAAATACGCTGCAAAATGTTCCAAGTGCAATTGATCGGATGCACTCACGAAAAGCGTATGCGGGCAAACGGCCCGAACATGGCTTTAACGTTGCTGAGATTGAGGTGCCGTATGGGGCTATCAATGTGAAGACGGAGATCAGATGGAGCGTGCAGGATAGATTTGAGTACGACTATCGAGTCTTCTAGTGCTTGGTTTGAATAAGGGGAGTCAAGGATTAGGAAGCGAGCCGAAAAGTTGCAATGAATGATGTTACGCGCGGTAGACGACACGGATACCCTGATAGTAAATAGCAAGTGGGGAGTTGTACGGAAGAGAATGCATCGGGCATGTTCGGACGATTACCGCCGCATGAATGAGCAGGAACACGTCACAATATTGCACTCCGCCGGACGGAGCCTTTATCAAGTCTCAAATGACTTCGAAAGCTCGCTCCTTCCTCTTTTGCCCGCTGCTAAAATGAATAACACAGCCGTTCTTCTTCCTCCTCGAACAAGATTGATGAGCATCAGGACTCCGTAGTCCATACCTCACCTGATAGGCTGAAGCTCCTCGGGAAATACCATCGATTGGGTCGGAATCGATCTCCGCTGTACCCGGCAGCGCTAACACCCTTCGCGTGAACCTACTTTCTCATCTGACATGAAAAGTTTGCCGTCGCCTGCAACTTCGTTAACTTGAAAAACATTCGTTGGAGACTTACGATCACTTTCGACATGTACCAATGAGTTCCTGGCCTTGACGATTTGCGATGGTCGCCATCACGGAGCTGCTGACGCAGCCATGGACAATTGTTTTCCTCGTCGTTTCACTCCTTCAGATCTACCACAAGCTTACTGCCAAGTCAAAGATACCCGATGGCGTGCCATGGGTAGGCAGAGACTCCAGTAGGTGGTTCGCTGGTACGCGGGCGAGCTTGTCAAGCTTCGGAGATACCCAGCAGCTGCTCGCTCAAGGGTACCAAAAGGTACGCTTTAGTCGCATTTCAATTCTACTGACCATTCACAAAGCTTCAGTATCTTGAGAATGGCATCTCTTACTTGATGCCAAACCCTACCGGAAAGCCCGATCTCATAGTGCCTCCTTCTCAATTGCACTGGGCAATCGAGCAGCCAGACGATGTCCTAAGTGCTGCCGCCTTTCATTACGACATACTGGGGGAAGACTATGCTTTCAGCCATCCAAAGATCTTGCGAGATCCTTATCACGAGCATACTATCCATAAGTATCTTCCGAGGCGACTTCCTGGCTTCATTCCGGATATTCAAGATGAAGTAGCCGCCGCCTTTGACAAATCCTGGGGCACAGACGAGGGGAACTGGAAGGAGATCTCAGTTTTTGATGCAAACCTGTTCATGATCTCGCGTGTTGTGAATCGTATGATCATTGGACATCCACTTTGTCGAAACGAGGAGTTTCTCTCGAATATGCGATCATATTCAATGGGCATTCAGATGATCAGTATGATCATTACCTACACGCCTAAACTGCTCAAGCCTTTAGTGGGAAGACTCGCTGCACTACGTGCAAAGGCTTACTACAACGCGATGGCGAAATTCATTATCCCGATCGTGACGGAGAGACTAGCCAATCTCGAGAAGAAAGAACAGGATCCAGCTTTTGATTGGGAACCACCCAATGATTTCATTTCTTGGCACATTGCTGGGGCAAAGGCTGACGGCCGCCACGATGAGCTGACAGTGAACATGCTGTCTCGACGAATCATGCCCATTGAATTTGCATCCATACATACGACAACCATCGCAGTCACGCATTGCATGTTTGATCTTCTTTCGTCAGAAGATTGCTCCACCTTTCTTGAGGGAATTCGTGAACAGTCGACTTCTCTGTTATCGAGCAACGATGGCCAGTGGGCAAAAGCGAATCTAGCGCACGCAAGTCGAGCCGACTCAGCCTTTCGCGAGAGCCTACGCATCAGTAGCTTTATGACACGTAGTGTTGCAAGAAAGGTTGTGTCAAAGCAGGGACTTCAAAATCCTGCTGAAGGCTGGACCGCTCCCTATGGCACAATCATGAGCTTCGATCTGTATGACGTTCATCGTGACCCCAGGTTCTACCCACAGCCAAATATCTATGACGCTTTTCGTTTCTCACGGCAAAGTGAAATCCAAGCGAACGCGAGTGCTAATGGTTCTACGGGCCAAGGTGAAGCTAAGGAAGGCTCACGACCTGAACGGAAGAATCTCGGCCTGATCACACTTTCCGACACATTTCTGACTTTTGGTCTTGGAAGGCACGCTTGTCCAGGAAGATTCTTTATTTCTGCAGAAGCCAAGATTATGCTAGCTTACATGGTCATGAACTATGAAATTAAGACCTTCCCAACCAGGCCTGCGGATCGGCATCTGAGCTCAATCATCTTACCGTCTTCGACTGCAAAAATTCGAGTCCGCAGGAGAGCAGGCACTGGCAAGGCTCACTGATGGATGCGTTCTCACCTTGGCCGACATTAGTAAGGCATCTGCCCTATCAAATTCGTTCGCTACTACGACCAACATCAGCAGCTGTATGATCGCTCTGAGAAAATCCTCCGCTCCATTGTTGGTATTGTATCAGCGTTCACGAAAATCGCTAGAAGCTGCTTCATGTTACGGTTGACATTTATTCCTCCTTGCAGCTTTCCGCAGTGGTAAACCTTTCTTCCTCTCAAAGGCACAAGGAGGTCTCGTCTGATAACGAATAGGCCAGTATAGCAACCGCGTTCCAACAGTCAGTCTAGGGATGAGGAACTTTAGCGTGACAGTGCCGACCACCGAAGCATGCATGAAAGGTTCAGACAAACAAGACTCTTCGCTTTCTTCTTGTTTAGACTTTATTTGTCGCCCATTTACTACCTTCAGGTCAAAATATGGAAACAGACCATACTTCGCAACGACAGCACAGCTTCTTCAAACATTCTACTATTTTGAATGATTGCCGCATGTAAGATAGCCCTTGCATTTACAAAACTTATCTGCTACGTCACTGTTGTGTTCATGTTGTACCTCCACGCATGGTTTAGCAAAGTACGCAACGTATACTATACCCTAGCATAGCTTGACATCAATTTTTCGCGATTGCCTGGCCTAGAAAAAATAAACCCCTGTTTGTCCATATATCCTTTGCATCAACTGGTACCTCGCCTGTGTGAGTCACATCCTTTTCAGCCAGGTAAAATCCTAAACATATCATGAGAATCTTGTTGTCAATTTCAATGTCTGTTCGCAATCTCATTAGCAAAGATACAGAGATAGCGCGGTTGGAGAGGCCATCTACCTCTCTATCCTCCGCGCTAAGGTGACATAAAAGATCGGAGATCTATCAGAAGACTGCGGATCTAAGAATACACCATGTTTCATGTGAGCTCTGGGAGCAGAGTTCTATCACCTCGGACATGCCCATTACCGTCGGGAAGAACCCATAAAGTGGGTACCATGTACTTCCGGTTGATAGGGAAATATCTACAAGCGCTCGTCACAGCCGCCGTTCGCCAAAGAACCGGGTCAAAATCTCACCATCTAACGTCTAGATCGGTTGATCACCCGCATGGTAGTCTTGCAGACCCCCACCCATCCCACGAACTGTCTTTCCCTCCCGTTGCTACCAATGGTACTCGCAAGCCAAGCACTCATTGATGCGCCAAGATCTTTAGACAGACGATGTAGGCCCTTTGATCCAGCCACAATGCATGCCCCTTTCTGGAAACTTTTCTCATTGGGCCAATACAGAGACTACCATGCGGCTATCCGGCAGTTCCTTCAGCTATCATACTAGTACCTCAACTTCACCCAACACACCAGGCCAGCAGCTTGATAAGGACTTGAAACAAAATCGGGCGATGCAAGAAGCATGATAGTACGAGTCGCACGCGCGAATGAGCAGCAAACACCAATCAGGATACGTACCGTCCTGGGATGGGTCCCTTCGACAGTTTCTTCCCGTTGTTCTCCGTTCTTTTTACGCATGAGCTATATTCTCACGATATCAGCTATCGCAATAACCTGAAACGACTGACCCTACATGAGATCGCAGCATCGTCTTACTGCAATGGTATACAAAGCGTGGTTCCCCGGGAGGGAATGTCTCACAAACGATTGTAAATTGAGCTTCGTACTTCTCTCGGTCGTGCCACCGCGCAATGTTCGTGACAAGTGCCTTCGTCAAATGCTGTTTATTCACAATACTCGTCGGGCAATTCAGCTTAGCTTGGCCAACTCAAAGCGGTCTGTTCGATTTCCCGAGGCGTACATTCTCACCACATGCCATACAGCTCTCTCGAGTCCAATATGAACAGGCAGAACTTGTTGATAGATCAGCGACTAATGGAACACAAGACGCCCCTGTAGTTGCCGGCAGTGAGCAGACGCAGAATCCTAACAGCACCCCAGCAAACACAGGCAATGGGACAAGCAGTGGATTTGATCCTGCGCCGGGTTTTATACCAAATGATCCCACCGTGAGCGCGGCAACCAACTGCACAGATCTGACTAGTCATCGGGACAATAAATGCTGGGAGGAGCTGCAATTGACCAGCTGGACGAACAAGTGGATCGCGACCAATTCTGCCAAGTGTTTAGGAGGAGAGACGTTTGCTTCCTGTTTCCTGAGGTTGCAGGGCTTCGGGGGGCTGGATTGTGATGGTATAAAGATCGACGCTTGCGTACCGCCCCAAGCCAACATGTCTCTTATACAGCCTGAGGTGTACTACGTGGCTTACAACATCTACGGTTTGCGCTTTGACACCCATCCCCAATAAGCTCTCACTGACCCTCGTATAGCCATCAATCAATTCTTTGTGTCATGGTGGACCGCTGTAGGCAACGCTGGAACACTTGCGGGCCTGAACGTGGACGAAATAGTGCAACTTGTTCATGTCCCCGACAACACTAACTTGATCATGGACGATATCCTTATCGCCCTTACCGGCATCTTCACTGTCGCTCCAGTCGCCACCGCCGCACTCCGTACGAGTCTTGAGAGCATAAGTGTCGCGACTAGGTACCTGACCTCCATGCAAGTCATCGAAGGTGCCCTCTTTGGATATCCTCAAATTGGGCGGTATCTCTTCCCCGCTGAAGGCGCTGATGCGACATTCATCCAGATCGCTGATCTCAAAACGCAACTCGTCGGCATCTTGCAGAAGGTGCAGGACAATCTCAACTTGACTCTCGTCGACACTATGACAGACGTCAACCAATTCCTTGCCTTTGCTTCACAGGGCAATTTCACCTACTCAGCTCCTTCCTTACCTGACCAAGCAAACTATCTTCTCTACGGCTTCAATACCTACATCGTCTCGGCCGCGCTCGCAGGCAACGACATTCACGCCGTCCTAGCAATAGACACTGACCCGCACCAGCTAGCCACCAATGGCACGAAACTCAATTACGACATCGATTGCAAGAACGGCTACAATGAAGTCGGCGTCTGCGATCAATGGTGGTACGACAACGAAACTAACATCGCGTACGGCCTTGACGATTACCGGCATATGAACCGCGACTGGTACGATACGCTCACCGCTCTACTCTCTAATTACACCACCGGGGAACTTCTCTTCACCTCTGCTTTTGCATGCAACACGCAAGGCGGCTACGGGGCGCCGGTGAACGTGACGGTGAACTCTGCCGGCGTCAACACAGCGTGTTTGAGCCAATTGCAGACGCTGAGGTGGGATAAGACTTGCACGCAGCAGAAAGTGGGGACTACCTGTGAGTTCCTGGACGGGCCAAGCCAGAACGGATGGATGAGTGCATGTGGGAGTCACAGTTTCTTTAGTGTAATGGATACTCCGAAGTATTGCGTTCCGAGCACGTATTTGGGGCCGTTGTTGACAGCTAGGCTGAGCAACAGTGAGTTGAGCAGGGATATGTGATCGGTTCAACTGCAGATGCATGGGGAGGATCAAGACCACAGCAGCATGTTTTGAGCGAGAACATTATGAGCATATGAAGCATTAGCATACCTGCATAGATCGATGTGAGATTTCACTCAAAGAGTGCCAAACTATCCAGTGTGAGCTGGTACAAGGAGTCTCATTGCCAAGCCGAGCCCAGCGTGTCGGTCATAAGGCAAGTCTATTGCCGCCCTCCTCTTTCGCCACGCGCTTCCAATCATCAGATCCCATCTGATGTTTGTTTCCATGTCTCACAAGGTACTGCATCTCTGACAGGTAGCGACAGGTAGCGAGCGATGTTTTGACTTTTCAGGGTCTCAAATACCGTCTCTAAGTAGCCTCCGCCGTAGGTCCGGCGATGACCTGAGTACTGATCAGTACTGGTAGTGCACGGAACGGAATTGTTACTACTCAATAGAGAGAGAGAGCTTTCTGACTGACGTCAAGATAGTATTCGGCAGATCTGAATCCGCCCTTGGTCAAGCCTGGCCCGTTTGGGGGGTTGCCTAGACCGAACGGGCTAGATGCTTGAGGGGAACGTCCTCATCTAGCTTAGCGACCGCTTCTTAGGGTCTTTGGCGTGGAAATAATGGTCTCCCGCAAAAGCTTGTAAACATCAACCTCATCGACGTTCGTGTCGTTTCTCCACGGTGTGGCTAATCGCCTGCGTCCCTCCATTATGCCGAGTCGCCACCAAGCTCACACCTCTGCAGTATCGTTGCCCTTACTCATGCAGGTGCCCTATTGTGTGTTAGCTTTGCATTGGCCCGTAAACCCTACTTACTGTCTTTACACTTGCGAGAAGATCACCAGGTATGCAAGGAACAGCCCAAGCGTTCAGGCAATGACGTGAACTCGGTTACTGACGCCCTTGTCTGTGGTGTCTTTAACTGGAGCTCATCTCCCCCGATGTAGGTACCTTGTTCTATCAGTCTCGACCTTGCTCGATCTCTTACCCCGTTTTTCCTTTCCCTGAAGACCACTCCAATAATGCGCTTCATTACCCCTTGCGCCTCTGGCGCTGCTCATTTCCTTAGCAGCTGCCAAAGACTGCATTAACCAGACAGTCGCTGTGACGATTTCCGCCCGTCAAGGGGTATTCAATATCGACGTTCCACAAAACAGTTTGGATGCTACGATTCTGATCCAGAATATCACGCAACAAGGTCGCAACTTCACTGAAGCCGCACTCACGACCTATCAAACAGTCTCAGGAACGTACAATATCAGCACGCAATTTTGCCAGCCAAATCCAGCTCCTGAAAACCCAACGGTGCAAGTATTGACACATGGTATCGCGTTCGATAAGACGTAAGTGGTGATGTTCTAGAACAATGCTCGATTCGTCTGACCAGTACTTCAGTTACTGGGATAGCCCCTACAACAACTTCAACTATAGCTATGTGAACACTGCCGTCGATCAATACAAGTATAGCACTCTCGCGATAGATCGTCTTGGAATCGGCAACTCTTCTCATGGAGAGCCGTTGAACGAAATTCAAGCTCCAATTGAGATTGCAGCAATAGCGGCGCTTACGAAAATGCTTCGGGACGGTACGTTCCCGGGGGTCAAGCAGATCAAGAAGGTCGTTCATATCGGGTAAGAACATATCTAGCTTCATGTTGCGAAACGCCCGCTAATGAACGTAGTCATTCGTTCGGCTCCGGTCAGACATACAATCTTGTCAACATGGACCCTTCATCATCTGATGGAATCGTTCTTACTGGCTTCTCCGGCAACGGGAGCTTCGTACCTGTCTTTGGGGCTGGAGCCAACTTCGTCCAGGCCAACGACAATCAGCCTTTTCGTCTCGGCAGCAAGATCATGGGTTATTCAAGCGTGACCAACGCATACGGTGCACTCGACTACGACGCTGCTCTGCCGACTCCGCTCAACTATCCTAACGGTTACCTTGCAAATGCAAATATCAATTCGAATCAATACAACTTCTTCCTGCCGAAGTTCTTTGATCTTGGAGCCCTCGTGGCAGGAGAGCAAACGAAGCAGCCCGTGACCCCTGGAGAGCTACTTACTTTGGGGAGCGTACCGATGATGAATGCATACGCAGGACCTGTCCTTGTCATCACTGGCCGTAAGTTCTCTGTCATGCTTAGCAATGACACTTCGCTAATCGTTGTGCCTCGCAGAAAACGATGTCCCATTCTGCGGCGGTAATTGCCTCGCGACAGGTGACCCAATGCTAGCATCCATTCCTGCAGCTGTCAAGAAGTCGTTCCCGAACGCGGGTGACAATTTTGAAGCCTATATTCAACCAAATACTGGCCATGGGTTGAACTTCCACTACAATCAGACAGGTACTTACGATGTCATCAATTGTTTCTTGAATGGAAAGGGCCTGGCATCTTCCTGAAGATGAGTGTGGTCACGAATCTACTTGTAATGACATTGGCTTATATTTCGGTTGGAAAAGCCATGTAGTAGTAATGTTAATGATGTCTGCCCCCTTGGCAAGGTATCTACCACGGCGGGCCTTAATGAATGCAAGTTGAATGGTTCTGTACATACTTTGTAAATACCATATTCAGAGATTCTATGATTTCACTCGACCGTCATTGCTAGACTTGTTATTCCCCAGCATGTGCCAATCTTTCCATTACGGCGGTCGTGAATCTGATATATCTACGGTGAACGGATCAGTCGATCACGCAGTAATTGGGTCTTTCCGCCAAAGATTTGTATACATCCTGTCAAGAGCAATGGCTTGCGCAAGCAAAGAGAGCAGATTGACTCGTCCTGAGCACAAGTCGTTGCAGGCCTAACGTAGGTTTCGAGATCGAACATGCATGCTGGGAAGCTCCTACCAGGTCTCCATCACACGGCCATGAACCACAGCTGCCGTACGGATCTATCCTCAGATCACCGAGCGTGACAGCTCGCTTGGCCATGACCAGCATTCTCAAGTCTCCTCCATTGCGATTATCTTGCATTCGAAAATGCAGAAGCAACGTTTCCGGGCGATGCAAGACTCATGCAAGAGAACTACCCCCGAAAATGAATCCCCACGAACTCCCCGATTCGGCTGTCAGCACGAAAACCCAACAGGCACGCATCGCCTTTCCCGAATGATCCTCATGCGCAGCCACGTTCATGAATCATGATCTCATGTTGCATCCCTCTGCCTGACACCATCATGACTTCTGTCTCAATAGCCTCACCAGCAACTTCACCTTCACCAACCTCGCCGTCCCTCTACTTCAATGCCCACCTGTCCCTTTTCATACCCCGGTCCTTCCTCAAATTACCCTCTCCTCCCCTCTGACTTCATCTAATGCCATCAAAATGCAGCTACCCTCAACCCTCTCCTCTTCCTCAACGAACCAGTCATCAACCCGCAAACTCATCCGCCGCAACCACAACCACCACCGCCGGCTCTCCACCCCCTCCTACCCCCACCCCTCACACAATCCCCGCCGCTCACGAATTCACAGCCTAGGCGACACCGCCCTCTGGCTGTCTGGCACGCTCCTCTGCTTCGGCATCCCCTCCACGCCTCGCGGGTCCCTTACCCCTACCCCCCATTCCCACACTCAAACCCAGAGCCAGACCCAGAGTACAACATCCTCCGCCTCGGGCTCAGGTTATGAGGAAAGAGAGGGGTACATCGACGCCGAACTCCGCAAATCCCGGCGAGAAACCATGATCACGCCCCCTCCCCCGGCCCCTTCCCCTCCCGTGGTAGCCTTCCGCAGCGTGCGGTGGGAAGACGAACTAGCCCTAGGTTTCAGGGACGAGGAAGAAGAGGATATGGTGACCCTGCACACGGAATCAGAGAGGGACGTGGGGGTACATAGTGCGTATGGTGGGTGGAAGGCTGTCTCGGAGCGGCTGAGCTGGGAGTGGGAGGAGGAGTTGAGGAGGAGGCGGAGGGAGACGGAGACGGTGGGGGAGGGAGGAATAGGGGCTGGGTGGTGGTTTGGCGGGAAGAATGATCCGTGGGCTTTGCTACCTATGGCGGAGATGGGGAGTTTGGGGATGAGTGGTGTGGGTTAGGGTAGGGTAGGAGGAAGGATTATTGGATTAGAGGAGGGCAGGGGGTAGTTTTGGAGGTTGCTAGCCTCTGCCAGAAGATACGGCACCGGTACCGAGTTTTGTCTGGAAACTGAAAGACGGAGGGAGTGAGACTCCTCTGAACTCATAAAGATTCACATACTCTGGATCTTGGGGCACGATAATGAATCGGAGACACCGTTTCCCCCAGAAAGACATTCACAGAGAAAGCAGTCATCAACACCGAATCCCCCGATTCCAGCCGGCCTCTCAGAGCTACTCATCTATCGATGGTACCCGGAGCGCGCTCCAATTCCTATAATAATCATGCTCAAAACCGCAAAACTCTCAACACGCCCGACAAGGTCTTCGCAAATACTCCACTAAATACACCATCACTTGTGCATGTGGGCACGTGAAAGCGTCATGGCATACATTCCTCACCACAACACTCACGCTGAGCCTTACCTTCAGCAACTATGAGTCTCCCATTGAATCAGCTGCGGGGCGGGGCTTGACCTGATCTAGAAATCTCAAGAACCCGAAGTCGACACGGCTAAGGAGGGGATTTATACCTGTGCAGCAGGGCCAACTGAAGGTTTGGACCGTGGGTTCGGGTGGGGCTGGTGATTGAAAAGACGTTCCTTCACTGAGGTAGCCTCTTCGAGGTTTCCTGAGCTCTTTGCGTTGGCAATCGGGAGGCGTCGCGGAAAACTTATACATTTAGATGGTCCTAGAGCTTTCTGTTCAGACATCACGCAGATGTGACTGCTTTGATAATGGGGAAAGAGGGGGAGATCGTACAACGATTTGCAGCATCTGGAATGAACTTAGTACATGGACTGCGAAATTATAAAAGCAATCGTGCAGTGTATGTCAGATATTCATTGCAAGTGACTATATTTGCAATGACTGCCAACACCCATCACACCCGCCTCTCCTACTTATCAGACTCGCGAAAATCAACCCCATTTTTAGTTTTACAATCTGTACGCACAAGTATTCCTTCTCAGATCATCACGCATCATGCCGTACCACGACCCCATGAGCCCACCTATCCGAATAGCGCCCCACCCAGCCTTATACTCACAGTCTTCGTCTGCGTATAATTCGCCAGCGCGGCCTCCCCAAGCTCTCTCCCAATCCCACTCTCCTTGTACCCACCAAACGGCAACTGATGATGCAGCAGATTATACGCATTCACCCAAACCGTGCCGGCCCTCAACTCATTGCTGACTCTGATCGCCGTATTCAGATTCTGGGTGTGCACAGCGGCGGCCAAGCCGTATGTGGTCGAGTTCCCGACGCGGATGGCGTCCTCTTCGGTCTTGAATTTGGCGATCGAGCAGACGGGGCCGAAGATCTCTTCTTGCATGATCTTCATGTCTTCCGAGACGTTCGAGAAGATGGTCGGTTGGATGAAGTAGCCCTTATCGCCTTGGCGTTCGCCGCCGATTTCGACTTTGGCGCCTTCCTTGCGGCCGGCATCGATGTAGCTGTTTCTTATGTCAGCAAATGATTTCGTTGGAATTGGATGAGAAGATGACAATGCTTACCCCATGATCCGGTCGAATTGTAATTGTGACACCTGCGGGCCCTGGAATGTGTCTGAGGCGAAGGGATCGCCGACCTTGTTCGCTGCTGCGCGCTTCTTGAATGCCTCGATGAACTTGTCGTAGATACCTTCCTGGACGTAAATGCGCGAGCCGGCGCAGCAGCATTGTCCGTGGTTGAAGTAGATGCCGAAGTTGACCCATGAGATGGCGTCCTCGATGTTTGCATCATCGAAGACGATGTTTGGACTCTTGCCTCCGAGTTCGAGAGTCACCTTCTTCAAGTTGGATCCAGCGGCAGCCTTCATAATTTGTCGGCCAACAACGGTGGAGCCTGTGAAGGCGACCTTGTCGATATCCATATGGGCGGAAATAGCGGCGCCGGCGGTCTTACCAAAGCCAGAGATGACGTTGATGACGCCTGGTGGGAAGCCAGCTTCTTTGACGAGCTTGGCGGCGTAGAGTGCGCCGAGCGGTGTCTGTTCAGCTGATTTGAGCACGACAGTGTTACCGGTGGCGACGACGGGGCCGATCTTCCACGCCCACATGAGTAAGGGGAAGTTCCAGGGGATGATCTGGCCGCACACGCCAATCTGCAAGGAAAACCATCAGTCCAACGCTCCGAGCATGAGGACAGAGATAACGACTTACCGGCTCTTGTCTTGTGTAACTGAAGGTTTCGGAGTTGGTATCGATGACTTTGCCTGTGATCTTGTCCGCCCAGCCACCATAGTATCTTAAGCAGCCGGCACACATGCCAATATCAACCTTAGCCATGGCGAAGGCCTTGCCATTGTCCAGTGATTCGATGGCTGCAAGAAGGTCGAGATTCTGGTCAAAGAGGTCTGCCAGTTTAAAGAGGTATTTGCTTCGCTGTTCCGGTGTGACTTTTCGCCATTCTCCTTCGAAGGCTTTGCGAGCGGCCGAGACAGCGACGTCAACATCTTTCTCTGTGGCTTCATGGACGGCCACGATCGGTTTTTCGGTGGAGGGGTTGATTGATTCGAAGGTCTTGCCCTCTACACCTTTGGTAAATTCACCATTGATGAATCTGAATCATACTAATTAGTTTTCCGCCACTCTTCGAGGATATGACCATGCTGTAAGTCCTAGGGCACAAGTAGGCAAACTTACAGTCCAGTGGGCTGCTCGTATTTGCCCGTTTGCGGGGTCTCGAGAGTGGTAGACAGAGACATGATGGGTGTATTTTGTTAAAGTTGATGGTTGTATATTCACGCAGGTGTGGTCTTTCTGTTCGTGGTATCGTGAAATGATGTAAACACGAAGCAATTGAGGGTGGTTTTAAAAGGTGGTGTCGCCTCCGCATCTATTTACTTGTGCTGCGTCATAGCTTGTGGGTGCAGCCCGATGGGGGAAGTGTGGTGGGGATCGAATGCGGGGTGCTTTCGCCTTCCGCCCGTACCGCAAAGAAGTCCAACGGTACACAGCGTGTAGGTACCCGTGTACATCAACCTGTTCCCCCGCCAGAGAAGCCTATATCAAATTCAAAGCTTCCAGACTTGATACCCCTCCACAGAGGCATCACCGTGCGAAAGGAGATGCCTTCTTGGGATACCTGCAACTGCGCTAGAGCATGCTTGATGTATCAGGTACCAAAGAGCGAAGGGTACCTGTTGTAAGCTCACTTGCACCGAAAGGACGGACGAACGAACGAACGAGTATGAGCCATGGGAATAGTAATCATCTTCTCGTGGAGGAAAACGGCCGTTAGCCTATTCATCTGTCCCCTGCTATGCATCCGCCAGCGCCATGCAAAAACCGCAGACAATCATATAGCCGAAAGCCTCTACACTCACATTGCCTCACCTTCGTAGCCAACACCTACCTCCCACTTCGTGTCGAACGTGCAGTTACTGGAGGCTCAAATGCCTCGTCGTCATCCGATATCTCATCGCCGCTGATCTCTGCCTTGACCTGCGTTTGTGACTTCATCGCCTGTGTGAAGGAAAGCTGCGACTGACGACCTGGCTGGCTCTTTGCAGCGCGAGCCGGCATCCTGGCTGGTGCTTTCGCTGCTGCTTTCTTGGCCGGCGCAGCAGCCGCCTTCCTGCCTCCCCGTTTCGGGGCGGGCTCAGGTATGAAGAGTTGGCTCTCGCTTTCATCCTCGTCATTCCCGGAGCCATCGAACATGACTACGTCCTCTTCGTCATCTTCGTCGCTCTCTACCACCTGCTTCTTGCTCCTCGAGTTCTTTGCAGGAGCTTTCTTTGCCGGCGCCGCCTTCTTAGGGGCTGCCGCTTGTCGTCCACGGGTTTTAGGGGCAACTTTGGGGAGAGTGACATCTGAATCCATTTCTGCTTCATGGTCGGACCGGTTGAGAGACATTGGGTTATCATGCCAGTCACCGTTCAAATCAGAGTCCCAATCATCCGGCCGTGGCTTCCATTTGGCTCGTTTCGGCTTCGTAGCAAGTCCCTTGGCGAAGAGCTCTTCAAGATGAGATTTACCTTGCTCCATTGCATCGAGCAATGCGTCTTCGTCTACGTGATCCATCTGTAGCAATAGTTCAACTTGCTTTGACAAATTTTCCACTAAGAACTGCTCCATCGCGTGCTTGTCGTCTTTGTCTACAAATTGGCTGACTGCGTCGCCAAACAAGTTTTGCGGTAATATCGTCAGTGATTGTGCGGCCAGAAACTCTTTCACCAATTTTTCAATCTTCACGGAGTCGAGGGCGGATGACTCTAATAAGTTGTCTTCTGGTAATTCCGCTTCACCGTTTGCTGTTGCCTTCTTCCTGCCACCTGCTTTCCTACGATGGAATTGCACGACATCTGACGTGTTGGCAACTTTGTTGACAAAGCGATTGGAGAAACGCTGCGGGTTCTCGCAGTCAAAGTTGCCACCTTCCGGCGCGGAGTACTCAACTCGTAATCTAATTAGAGGTAACGGAGGCTCATGCTCATCATCACGCTCTCCCGAGTCTTGGGCATCCTCCCACTCCTGGTTTGCTTCATCGATCATCACATTGACAATGCCTTCAAGGAAGCGAGTTAGCTCAGTTCGATTGTTGGCTTTCTTTGCCAACTTCATAGCTTCCTTTTCTTCGGATAAGACAATCTCCTTCATCACGAAAGGCCTTACCGACTTGAGCCTTATCGGTTCTGACTTGAACTCTTTGCCTGTAACGGTCAGTATTGCGACCTTCTTAGGCACCGCTTCTCCTGGCATCAGGGATGTTGCGACCGACGATCCAGGTTGCATGACGTGGAAGTTCGTTTCCGGGTTGTACGTTGGGTCGATGAGACATTCGTGTTCATGACCCCATACGACAAGATCCATGAAGTCTGGAAGAAAATTCTCTGGAAGGTATCCCGTATCTGTATACGCGTGACTATTAAGTGTAAGCTAAGACCTAGAGAGATGTGGTGCAACGGCGTACTGGTTCTGGTGAACGCTCATGAGGTTGAACCAATCCTGCTTTTGTGTTCCTGGCTGAAAGAATTTGACTTTGCCATCTCGAAATGTCCTGAACATACGCTCGTCTCTGATGTTGCTCATTCCGTACAAGGCAAGCTTGGTTCGACCTTTCTGTAATAACACTGGTTTGATCTGCACATTATCGGATTCAGGGGTACGCCCGTAGTAATTGAGAAGTCCAGCTGTTTGTAGTATATCAAGAGCTGCAAGATGACCTTCCTAAAATTAGTCAGATAGTTGTTGCTCTGCTTCCTGGATTTTGTGTACTAACCCCTGACGGATCATCGTGATTGCCATGTATCGAGAACACAGGAATAGCTACATTGATGTCTGGATCTTCATAGTTGACATAGTTGAAAGCACTGCATCTCGCTTAGCATATGGGTTTTCTATTATTCAGAGAAGGCCCTCCTTACCCTTGAAACACCTCGCTATTGTCACTCAACATCTCCAACTCACAGGGTTTGTCTCCGTAGCAATTCATTCTAAGCGAGCGCATGACGTTGAACATAGACTTTCTAGAGGGCTTATTGTCATGAAAAAGGTCTCCCGCGAGCAGTACCATGTCCACATCCCTGGCTTTCGCGAGGCACATAATCTCATGGAAGCTTCGCCAGCTGTCTTCGCCTCGGATGGCATCTCGCTCGGCGTAGCCGACATGGTTGTCAGTGGCGACGAGGACACGTATCGTGTCAGCAGCTGTATTTCTTTAGTATGCATTCCACAGATTTGCCTTATCCTCAGACAAGTAGAGTCTGAATTAAAAGCTTCTTACCTGTTAAGCCCGGCATGTTGGGCCCTTCTCCTCCGCACTATCTGTCTGGCAAACTTTGGGTCAAATACTGATAAGAGGTCGATGGGGAAGAATTTCGAGCGATTCTTAATAACATCATCCCGCGCGGCACTACATTACAACACTTGTGCATGTAACGAAGTGCAAGTGTAAAGAATGGCAAACGCGGTGCGCGAAAGAGGCAAAGCCTCAGGGCTTCCTATTCGTCCAATCTTCTGATTGGCTGCGCCCAACATCAACTCCTCGACTTTGCTATAATTTGCTCGGGGCCATTGTGTCTTTCAGCAATGAAGCCAACACAGGTCCTGCTGGCACGCTCAGTGTGGAAAGGTATGCTAGTGTTCCCCTCATCCTGCAATGATCCATAGCTAAACACCTTCCCAGGCCCAAACATCGTACCGTAATGCGCCCAATCCTTTCCTACATCCTTCCTCTAACACAGTCACAAGTCTCCCAATCACACGCCCTGTCCCCGGCCAAAAGACCCCTCCCATCAAAACACAAGCGCGAGCTGCGACAATACTGCCGAATTTCGTGGGCCTGAAGTTCCAGGTGCACAATGGCAAAATTTATCATGATGTGACGATCACGCAGGATATGGTTGGGCATAAGCTGGGGGAGTTCAGTCCGTGAGTGACAACTCCTCACCTCCTTGGTGGAAAGTTAGGATGGACGGAATTGGGAAGGGTTTGGCGGGAGGGGAGTGAAGGTGGTTTGGCTAATGGGCGCATGTACAGGACGAGGAAACAATTCAAGGCACCGAAGACGGCCAGGAAGTGATTGAAGTGTGGAGAGCGTACAGCTTATTTGTATGCTTTAAGCAAGGATGTCTTTGGTGGTAGTATGTTGTGCGTTTTGGGAACGGGTCTGCCTGGCAGCGAGGGAGAGGATGGGGAGGCAACGGAAGACAGAAGTTGGGCCTTTCGAGCCATCTTGAGTCAATGTGTAATGACATTTGAGACTTTTGAATGGTCTTCAGTCCGCAGAGAAGCCTGTTTCTCGATCACAGACATCTTGCTCTCCTATTCTAAGGTCTCAATACTATCAAAAAAAGGCAAGATGTGGAGAGCTCGCTTCTTGAGACACCACCATTGGCCTCGCGGTGATATTCCCCGGGACAGTTTATAGGCTGTAGTATCTCTAGATCCGGACGTGATATAGAGCGAGTATCCTCTATTGGCACTATTCAAGCATCACTGACGGACAAGGATCAGTCCTTGACCACTAAGTTCATTGCACCTTCAGATGATCACAAACTCCTGCTTCGATGACATTTCCAGTCCCTCGCCGTGCATGAGCCATTCAATGTAGCACTTACCTACAAGCTTCCACTCTTCCGGGTTCTCAGTGGGTCTTAGAACGCATGGATATCTCGACCCATGAATTATGCATATTGCGTCTCCGTATTGGAGAGATCGAGGCACGGTCCCGAGTAAACGTCGATTGCTTGTGCAAATGATCTTTGAAAGCATATGTGGAAGCATAGTCGCCTCAAAAAAGCGCAACAAGATGCGCCTATTCTCACTGCACAAGGATTGGTACCAGGCCGTACCTGGTGCGCCAGCTTCAAGATCTTGCCACAGCTTAAGACCAGCCGAGATGTTTTCCACCTCGACCTCATCGCATCCAGTTATGAGACGACGCATTAAAAGCCGATCGTCAGAATTTGCGGATGCTGCGTCAGATTGTGAGGCTCCAATCAGGTCTCTGAGTTGTTGGATCCAAACCTTCATGGTTGATGTGCAAGACTCAGAGACTTCAACGCCCCAGTCAACCCCTGGAAGACCTGGATAATCAACCCCATTATCAGAGTAGTCGTCAACAATAGTGCCTGATACAATCCAAATGCTTTCACCGGCAGCCCTTTTACAGTTGATAGGAGTCTCGCCAGAGGCGGAGTACTGCGTCCCTCTCCGCTTTTCCAGGCAGTGCATTAGATTTCCCACTTGCTGACCCCAATCTGGGACCCAGGAAGGTAAATTGGAGTCTTGACGACTTCCGGTACGTTCCACACGGACGTAAACCAAGGGTTTAGGAAGAAGTCCAAGACACTGCCACACACTGCTGCCTCAGCTTGCCCGCTTCGAAGCTCGTTCATCATCATACTTTCATCCCATCCACCCTCTCTGCCGTAACCTGCCCCCGCGTACCAATTCCTGATGCAATCAAAGGCATAAGTTCCAGTACCAACAATTCTTTGTAGCCACACTTGCACGTCGGATGCGCTAGCAATGACCCTCCTCATCAAAGCAATTTGTGTTGCTTTTTCCTGCGGATCGTTGAGATTGATACATATGGATTTACTCCAGAAATATGGGGAAAATTCGGCCTCAATGAAGTTGTAAAGAACATCGTACGTCTCTCTGGAGATACCTGTCTTTCCGCCGCCGAGGCACGGTACATTGGCGAAAGACGTTGGACTGCTGTCTTGCAGAGATAAAATGGAGTATCTTTCACCTGGGTTAGACAAGTTGACCGTTTTGAAGTCACACGCAAAGGCATGATGACCGGAGATATGCCAGGAATAGTTGCAGACTCGGACCAAACGAATGTAATTATATGGCAGGGGCGAGAATTCAAAGTGCTGAACCGGGGATGAAAAACAGACCATCATTAAATTCCAGCCTCAATACCATGTAACAAAGTGGAAGAAGTTGATGCTTCGCAAAGAGATACTAGAGAAGCGGTCAAATAAAATCAAATCACAGTGTGTGGGATGACAGAGAAGTAGGAAATTTCTGGCCTTCATATCAACAGTATTTGGTGCCTACGGCGACCATCTGAAACGGAAGGTGCTACTCATGCCATTTCAACGCTCATCTACTGATTTGAGAGACATGGTCGGGCATGATTGATGGAAGATCTGGAACTTTATCAGGCGGCGATTGATGGAGCGATACCTTCCAGGTCGTTGATGGCAATATGAGAGATGCCCAAGTCATTGATAGATAGGAGATTAGGTAGTCACAGTCAAATGTAGCGTGAGTTCTGTCGGTTATTTTATTTGACTGCTGTCTTTTGTAGAAATCATTTCACATCAAGTTCCCGAAAGTGATCGCAGTAGCCTCAAAATTAATATATTGATTCAAATATGCTCCTTGGCGTACAGCTGTCATGGCTCAAGTGAAAGAAGGCCACCGAAATTTCACCACAAGCTCCGCACCCCCGCCAAAATTGCGGGAGTTCGAGGTGCCCAGTTCGAATCTTGCGGTAGCAGTCAACTCGCTCGGGTAACCAGCGAACGCATTGACCGCTCTAAGCAATGGAGATGATCGCTCGAGGGAAGCAATTCTGCAGAGGCATTTCCACCGTGAGGTGGCGGCATTGGATTACATCTGTTCTCGTTGGGGGTCGGGATTTGTGGGTGGTGCGCCAACTTTTTGCTCCCTTTCCCCAATCTTCGTTTCCGTTCTAGGTGGTCTTCCGGGGAGGAAAGCCCCAAGAGCAGTAGTACTCAACGGCCCGAAAATCCAGGCATAAATGGCCAGAATTTTTTTTGACACTCTCTTTGATCATTGAATTTGCTTCACGCAATCATTGCTCTTATTATATAAACAGATTCTGGATTTGAGATCGCGCAAGGAATATCTAGATATGCTAGCGAAATCCACACCTTCAGCCGGAGGCAGATCAGTCCATAATCATAGCAGTGCTCCGCTCAAGACACCCTTTCCGTATGCGTTAACACGCACTCAATAATCGTTTTGACACCTCTCTGAGCTCACATCCCCCTCCACTGAGTTTAGAGGGAGTATCAGTGGTCACTGCTGAATCGCATTTCTTACTCCTCGTCCATCGGCTCGACTCTGACCATGTTCGGTGCCCGAAAGCGTCGTTCCTCGTGTCCTCGTCGTGGTGCCTGGGGCTTGAACTTGGAGTCAGATCCATTTGGAGTCTCGTCGAAGCTTTGTTCGCCCCACGCGAAGACTGTATCCGTTTCGAGAACGGCAGATCGTATGAACACATTCGTTTCCCAATCCGCTGGCGTGCATGCTTTGCCGTGCCGTGGAACGATGAATTCATATCTTACCACCGATTCCTCAAACGTGACACGGATTCGATACTCGAGCTCGTGCCATTCTTCACCCTCATCATTGTGCCAGATTGGAAAAAGCCTACGCTCTTTCTCGGTCAGATAAAGATCAATGAAGCCAGCCGGAACGATATCTGTTTGAATGCTTGTCAAATGACTTGTCACTCCGATATGGAACTTCTCCTTACCGTTGCTTGGGTCTGAGACACATAGGTGGTCATGTGTTTGCGTTCTAGAGGTGAATATTATCTGTCTCATCAGCTCTACTCCCTCAGTTGGTACCAATTTCCAGCCTCCCTCCAGTACACGTGGTTTCTCATCGTATTGTAGGTCTTCATTCTTTATTAATGTCAGTCCAAGCGCTGACGTACGTGGCAGGGCTTGGAAGGGAACCTTTCTGACGAGCCATGTGATACAATCTTCAACAACTTCTGCACCATCGCAGGGATCTATGACTGTTCTTGCATTGCTCCCGTGATCTCTGGCATCATACTCTTCGTCCCAGGCGGTTCCAAGACTCTGCGACATCCTCGTTGTCTTGATGGCGTCCCTTCGTAGACTTCTAATGATTGAGCCCTTGGCAACCAATACCGGACTATTGAATATCAGCCCTCGCTCTCATTCCTAAAACGCTTTCAGGCTACTTGCTCGTTGTTGTGAGGAGTTGACACCAAAATGTCCGTGAAATGGGTTTGGAGGCACTTCCGAATATACCCATTGGAACTGGCACCTCCAACGAACAGGATTTGCTTCTTAGGCATTAGCTACCAAGTGTTTCATCCCCCGTAGATCTTCTGACCTGCAAATGTAGCCCTTCAGCTTCATAGACTTCGTTGAACTCTTCAATGTGATCTTCCAGCATTGAAATGACCTGTTCGATGACTTTTGAAAACACCTCATCGCGGACTTGACGCCTGTTACCTATCAACAAGAGAGCCTCCCCAACAGTAGGAAACCAAGAACCTTGTTATACGCGGGAGCTGCACCCGGATGTCGTGGAGTCTGATCGCAAAACGATCCTCTGAGCGCTCTTCGAAGTCTTCTCCTACATCTTCTTTTGCTCCCTCAAACTTCTTCCAGACATAGGATTTGATTTCTTCCCATAGTTCCTCTTCTGGAATGTCTTTCGCTGGGTAGCCTCGGAAGGCTTTCTCTTCTCTCCATTGCTTCAATATGGCTTTTCTCTGGCGTTTCAGGATACCTTCTACTAGGTTGACGAAATGGTAATTCAGCATACTAGAGCCATAATGACTACCTGGTGCTTGGTTAGGTACGTAGGCACTTTGTTCTTTGGAGACTCACCTGTTGGCGCTACAGCGTGAGACAACGAGCCACCTTGTATGTTGAAGCTAGCAATATCCTGAGTATGTCAGCATTATGAAAATCTTGTAGGCAGGCGTTTAAATACCCCTGTGCCTGCTCCGAGATCCAGGACAAGAGAGGACCCATGTGAAGCAGGAGTGTTTCCAAAACGGTGTTGCTCATCATATCGCATACAAAGTGCAGCAGCATCTGGTTCAGCGACAGGAAATCGAATATTTTGTAGTCCTGCATCGCTTGCTATTTTCATCATCTTGTGTCTCAGGCGAATAGACCATGCTGCAGGTACTGTGATGATTGTGTCAAGGTGAGCCGGCGATATTTGGGTTGTATCAATGAGTCTCTTAAACTCTAAGTTAATGTTCCTCATTGCGTCTTCAAGAAACAATTTCAAGTATGCAACCATGAGCTGGTCTGGAGTCCTGATACCTAGGTGCTCTGGAAGCTTGTCGATTTGGCTGATGACTTTCTTACGAATGTCCCTAGATTCATTCGATTCATCATCAAGAGCAAGCTTAATAAGAAATATTCTATCAGCTTCAGATATCTCGAGACTCTCTGAGTTCTCAATTGTCTTTTCGACCTGATTGCCCCAGATCCATCGATTCAATTTTGTTGACCAGGCGATTTCAACCTTTGTGTGATCTGAACTTGAATTATCTAGCCGAATCGCAGTGAGCAGGTTCGTATCGAAGAAGCCATTCATGAGATCTCGGTTCGACCTCGAAGGGTTGAACATGCAGACTGCTCTGCAGAATTTGGTTCCAACATCAATCCCTAGCATAGGTCGAATGGGAATTGAAGATGAAGTAGCCATAATGAAAGATTCAATGTTGGAACGAGGAAGACCTGAAATGATGAGTCTATTAACATTAGGTATCTGGGTTCTGATTGAGTTGACCAAATTATGTGAGTAGATAGCCCAGCAGAGTGGGGAGCCTCGGAAAGATGGCAGATTACAAGACTGTCGCCAACTAGTAAGACCACTCAGTGATAATGAAGTGAAAAGAAGGGAGATAGGGCAATGAGGTTTTGTCAGCCAGCCCATTAAGGACCAGCGTTAATTCACATCACATCATTCGATAGTGAACTTCTTCCTGACAATCACCTCTTCGGCCATCTTACAACTTATGATCTAACTTCAATGACTTACTGATTGGTTCGAAGGGCCCATTCTTCATTGACAATGTCTCCGCAAGGTAGACCCGTCCTATGGACCGCCAAATTGATCGCTGTTTTGCTTGACCATATCGACAAGCGGAAAGGCGATATTGACTTCTATGTGGCTGATAAAAATCGAGTAGTTGAGGAATTGACACGAGTTATCAAAGACGTGAATCAATATACAGGCCTCGAGATAACGGAAAAGCAAGTTCTAAGCAAGTGCACCAGATTGGCTAGTCAAATAGAGGACCCAGTCACAGGATCTCGACTGGACGCTTTCTTCACCAAAGGCAGAGATGCTTTCGAGGATGACTATCTTTATGAACTGAACGATAAATTGCAAACAGAACAAGAGAATGAATTAGCAACGACAAAGAAAGAGGAGCCTACAACAATCGACCTCACAACAGAGCCGAACGAGCAATCGCCCGTACCTTTCAATAACGGGCCTTATGAAAGGTCGCAAGCAATCGAGAGCTATTTAGCAAGGAGCTCCTACTCCTTCGTTGAAGATGACGACGCACTGCAAAAGCTCCAGTCAAACATGCTATCTGCGATTGAAGACGCTGCGACGGGCGTCTTGCATACGACAATCTATCCCAACGGTGTGCAGACAGTAGTCAGCGATATGAATCGTTATCCAATACTTAACGAAGCACTGTCTGTCAGCGACTTCTCCAGCCTCTGTCAGATCATATTTGGCGTTACAGCTGTTGAGAACATATCATCAATTATTGTAGGCAACCGTGTGACCAAGGGACAGTTCCTCCGAGCAGTCATCGCCGCCTTTGCGTGCGACCGCATTCTGTTTCAAGGCACGTCCATCGAACGCGATCTCTTGCAACAGTTGAGGCAAGTCAATCAGATGTCTCAGATAAAGGACGACCTATTAGCAAAAGGTAAGTGGCCGACTTTCGTTCGCCAGAAGGTGCTGATCATGTCAGTGTGCCGTCCACTGTTTGACCAAATACGGCGTGAAAGCAACCACATCCTTTTGCACGATCAGCTCCAGCCAGACATTGAGGCAACGCGACTAGTCAAGGCTTTCACGGAAAGCACGGCGGTCTTTCTAGATACCAATAAGCTTCGGAAATCCGACCAAGGAGAGAAGGAGTGGACAAGGGGTCTCCGAGCTGCATTTGCTGCCGCGATCAAGCTTAAAGCCTGTATGCTCTTGAGAGACCTGGGCGAACATGTTACGTTTCCTACTTCTGGCAATGCTTTTAATCCTCGCCAAATGAGAACCAGTGATCACTTACGTGGCTCTGAAGGCCGTCGAGTGAAGCTTGCATTCTTTCCAACTGTGCGTCGACGGGACGGACAAATTGTCCTATACAGTCTTGTTGCTCTCCGCCCCATGTAGTCACGTTACGAGACCAAGGTCATATCTTGCGGAAAGCGTTCGCGGACGGACGGGTAAAGGGGGAAATGGAGATGGGACAAAAAATGTCAATCAGGTCATATCTTGCTGAGATCGATAGGCGTCAGCTTCTTGCAGCATATTAAATTAAAGAAAGCCTCTTTTCTCACAAACATAACTCTTAAACGGAATTTTTCGAAACTAATACGAGTATTATATTGCAACTATGCGATGCGGAGCGGAATAACTAATGTCCGGGGCAGCTTATAGATCTCTATATATTAAAGGAACAACTATTAACTAATAATAACTAGTCTATATATATATAGCTTAATATACTTTATAAGTATATAACTAATTAATCTTTAGTAATTACTATTGAGCTTTATATTTATATAATAGCAATTTATTTTAATAGTAAATTAATAATAAAATATACTAGCTACTTATTACCAAGGCTTAGATTATATAATTATAATACTCTTTTTTAAAACTAGTTTTTAAATAATAAGTAAGAGGTTTAATTTTAATTATAAATACTTAAAGTAATTTTTATTTAATAGCTTAATAAATATATTTATATACTAGTTTTTTATATTAATATATTCTATTTTTAGGAGATTTTTTTATATATATTTATAAATATAATAATATTAGATAGCAATATACTTTATTCTTTAATAGAATTTAGGGTTTTTAATAAAAGTAATACTTTTAAAATTATTATTTCTTAATAAAATAAAATATTTTTTATTAAAACTAATTTTATTAAATTATTATAAAGCTTATATATTAGATTTACTTTTTTTTATAAAATATTATATATTTAACTTTAGTTATTAATATAGCTATTATATATTATTTTTAAATATATTATATATATAATATATTATAATAAATTATTATATAGCTATAAGTTAATTATTTATTTATATAATTATTTATATATAATATATTTATATAATAAATAATAATAAAATTTTATAATAAAAATATAATTATTAAATTAGGAACTTTATTAGTAAAAGTTTTTAAATAATATTCTATATAAAAAGTGTAAGTAGCTAGCTAAAAGCGGAAATAGTATATATCTACTTTTATATATAAACTGCGCATAGCCTGCTATTATAACCTTGTGTAATAGGTATAACTAGGTAACTACTATAGTATAGAGACTATAGCTATACTAGGTTACTAGGAAAAATAATTAAAAAAAAAGAAAAATAGCTAAAGTATTTAAGTATATTTAAATACTAAAAGTACTAAGTAACTTTTAAATTAAATATACTTAAAGTAATTAAAAATTAAGTATTATTAAATAAATTAAGTAAAGTTATATATATAGAACTTTTTGTTCCTTTTTTAAATAGATTTTTTTATATTTAATATAAGTTTTATTTTTTACTATAAAATCTAAAATAGTTATAATTTAATTTAATTTTACTATTTTATTTTTACTTTTTTTAACTATTATTTATATTCTAAAAAAATTAACTTACTAACTTATAGTTAAATTAGCTAATATTATTTATTAATTTAAATATTAAAGTCGTAATATATTAAATATTTTTAAAATAAATATAACTAAATCTATTATAAATAAATAGCGCTTTTAGTAAAAATATATAATATATTAATTAACTATTATTAAAAAAAATAAAATTAAACTTTTAAAAATTTAACTTTTTTTATAAAAAAAATAAACTTAATAACTAGTTATTTTAATTAAATTTCTATTTTAAATTAATATTTAATATTAAAAGTAAAATTAAAATAGCTTTTATAGTAATATATATAAAAGGCAAAATACTATTATAAATTAATTTAAACTTTAGAAAATATATAAATAAAACTATTAATATAGAAACTTATAAATAAATTAAAAACTATTCTAAATTTAAAAAATAAATCTAATAAATATTTAAACTTATTAATAAAGAATAGTATATTAAATTAATAATATAATAATTATAATAAACTAAAAAAGTAGCTAATTATATAACTATTTTCTAATATTATATAATAATAATAGAATAGAATAACAAAGCTTAAATACTATAATAAAGAAATTAAAAATATTAATAATTTTATAAAAATTGCAATTAAAATTAATAATAAGCTATATTAATAATATATAAAATAAAATAAATAATAAGGATAATATATAAAATAAATTATTATAGAATATAATAATAATATAATAAAATATTAAAGACATTATAACTATAAAGTAAAATAGCTAAATAATACTAATCTATAAAGTAATTTTATAAAGCTAAATATATTAATATTATAATATAATAATAAAAATAATTATAAAAAACTTAACTAAAAAAAATATTATAAATATAATAAGATAGGATATATTATATATAATTATTAAGTAAAAAACTAAGTATAAAAATAGTTAAATATTTTATAAAAAATTTTATTATTATATTTATTATTAATTAATAATAAGAAAGCTAAAAGCTTAATAAGTAATATAAACTTAAATATATTATTTTTTATAATAATAAATATTGATTAAATATAAAAAGTAAAAATAAATTAATATAATAAATAATATTTTATAAAATATAAAAAAAAATATATAAACTATTTAATATAAACTTTAATAAAATAATAAAATAACTTAAATAAAAATAATAAATATATAAAGAATATAATTATAAATAAAACTATTTTAAAAATAAGCTATAAAATCTTTTTAATAAACTAAAATAATATAAAAATATAAAATTAAAAAATAGTAATAAATAACTTTTTAAAAGGGTATTATATTTATATATCGACTTGTAGCTTAGATACTAAATAAATAATACTATATATATACTAGAAGATAAAGTTTTTAAAATAATAATGTAATAAATTATTTATTAAAAACCTTATAAAAAAACTATTTAAACTAATTATATAATTAACTAATATATATTTTATTTAGTTAATAAATATAAAAATAAGTTTTTTCTAAGATATAGAAATAAGTAATATAATTTATATTATTAATTTTTAATAGAAAAACTAAAAAATAGAATATATTTATTATATATCCTATAAAAAGAAAACTAGCTTTTAATATAGTAATAAAACCCTATATAATAATACTATAAAAGCGTATTATATATAATATATTAAAATAAAAAATTATAATAAAGAATACTACCTAAAGCAATAATTAATAATTTTAATAAAGCGTAAAATACTAAAAGATATAACTTATATATTATAATAAATATATAGTTTAATAATATATTAATAATTATATTAATAAATATAAAAGCAAAAAGAAATTATATTTTAAAATAAAGAATATAAAAAATATAAATTAAAATATAAGTAATAAATAAGCTATATATAATTATAATAGCTATAGAAAATATAATAAAAATTAACTTAATTATAAAAGAAACTATATAAATAGTAATAGCTATTTAATAGTACTATAAAAATATAATATTTAATATATTTAAAATAGCTATTAATAATATTATATTAGGAATACTTTAGTTAAAAAAATAGAACTTAGTTATTAACTAGCTATTTAAAAAATTAAAATTTAAAAATAAATTTATTATTAAAGCTTAGAAGCCTAAGTAGTTTATAATTATAACTTTAAATAAAAAAATCTAATAAAATATTAAAAGTATTTATATATTTTAAATCTTAAAAAATAAATAGTTAAATAGTATACTAACTTTAATAAATATAGAAAAAGAGTTACCTAATTATAAAGCTAAAAGAAAAAATACTAATAAAACTTTTATACTATTAAAATATAGAAAATAAATATATTTTTTAAAAAAAAAAAAAAGTATTATTATTATATTAACTTTAAAATTGTTAGATTAAATTAACTAATAATAAGTAACTAATATTTAAACTTATATATTAACTATTAAAAATAGAATTTAAAACTTTAAAAATATATTTAAAAAATTTTTTTATAAAAGAATTTATAAAGCTATTATTTTTTTTAATTAAATATTTAATTTTTTTTATTTTAAAAAAAATAGCAAACTATAACTATATATAAGTTATAAGAAATTTAATAATATTATAATAAAAAATTAGTACTTATTATTAAATATAAATAAACTTAGAAATTAACTATAAAAAGTAAAATAGTTTTTAAAACTTAATATATATAAAGTATATAATTTAATATAAATAGCTAAAAGCTATAAATAGAAAATAGTTTTTAAAATAAAATATAAATTATATAAATATATAGTTATATTTTTTAGGTTAATTAATATATTAGTATTATATTAGAAATTAGTTAATAATATTCTAAAGAACTTACTAGACTAATATATTATTATATATTTAAATAATATCTTAATATTCTTAAAAATAATATAATAATATATAGAAAATATTAAAAAAATATTTATATATTTAATAGAAATAAATTTTAAGCTTAAACTAAAAAAATATAAGTTTTATAAAAAGAAATACTTTTTTTAAAATATATTATAAGTACTAAAAACTTAGTAATAGATTTAAAAAAAATATAAGCAATATTAGATTAGCTAAAGCTAATAATAATTAAAAAATTATAATTATTCTTTAAAATAATTAACTTTAATAGGAGATTTATATAAAGGTTTTTATAAATTATATTACTTTTAATAAAATTAATAAGAAAAGAAATAAAATATAACTAGACTAAAAAATAATAATAAGTATTTAACTAATTAAAAAGAAAATATATAAAAATTTTAATATTAAAAATTTTTTAACTAAAGAAAATAATCTAAATTAAAATTAATATATTAAATATAATAATAAAAATATATTTATAATAAAAAATAGATAATAAATAGTACTTTATAATATACTATTTATATAAAATAATAAATATAGAATAAAACTATAATATTTATAATAAAAAATTAATAGCAATAATTAATATATTTAATAATAAAAAGTATATATAGAAAGAGTAAAAGATATTAAAGTATTTATAGACTATAAGAATTTAATATATTTTATAATAA